TCGTTTACTGCTGCCTACTGCTGGCATTTCTCGTCTATGACCCAATCATGACCGCATCGCTCTGCCGTTTGGTATGGCGCTTTTATCGGCCAGTGTTCTTTTCGGCATACGAGCTCTTGTTTGGACGGATTGAGAGATGGCTGCGAAAAGTCTGGGGCCGCTGTAGGCGTTGGCAGAAAGAGCAACAGGAGCTTTGGACAGGGCGACTGAAGTTCTGGATGTGGTTGGCGAATCCAAAACGCGTCTAGCAGATTCTCGTCATTTTCGCGGCGTTCTTCAGGGCCAACTATTTCGGCAAGGGCTTCTCGAAGGTATTGGGCTTCTTTGTGACCGAGCCCAGGGTTGCGGAGCCAGTCAGGCCATGGGAGCCCGGAAAGATCGAGGAGTCTGGGGGAAAAAAGAGGCTTGAAACGATTGAAGAGGTCGACGAGGAGGAGGGGTCTGACGAGGTAGAGAGGCCTGACGTGGTAGAGAATCCTCCTGCGCCAGCTCTAATTCAGCCTCAGCAAGGCGGTGGCGGACACAGGGGTAAGAAAACGAAGAACAAGAAAAACAAGAAAAAAGGGAAACGCTGAGAGTTACTCCGACCAGACCAAGGATTGGCGGTGTCGACATGAAGTCGAGACGATATTGATATCCATGCGCCAGTGATTAGCGGATACAAGACACCAGCGATAATAAGTATTCCACCCCGTAGCTAGCGATAAGAATCAACATAGCATTCATTGATCATCACCTTTCAAGCTGGACACGACGAGATGGCTTGGCCTCGTTTCCAGTGGCGAGTCAAGTATGCCATGCTTGGCTCCTGGTATTGTCGGAGTTAGTGTGTGCATCGGCATCGTTGCTTCCAGATTTCAACGTTTCCAGAAATTTTCGGAGACTGTTGCTGATGATCAAGATGAACGTCATTTTGAAATTCGTGTGCACTGGATAGGACAGTATCGCCTCGTATGACGAAATTATGCCATGAAGTCTGGTCTGAGGCAATTTTGGGAGGAAACCCTTGGCAAGCGCGCTTCATCGACTTCCACATTGACCATGGAGACGCGGCTCTGTCCAAGCGGTTCCAGCCAACTGGCTGGCTGACGGGACCAATAGCGCATTGGTACGAGCTCGAACACAGTAAAACGACAAGATGGGACTCGAAAGCAAAACGTAGGAGACCGGTTCTTTTGTCTGGCCGGGCACAATTTCGCGCCAAATTGCAAAGAAATGAAAGAAAGCCGAGTCGTCGTGGCGTGGGGATATTCTGGGGGCATCGGCAGACGACGCGAGGTTTCCCCGACTCACCGGAAGGGAAGGACTCCACTCTTGTATTTTTTGAATGATTGTTTTTTTTTTTTTTTTTTTTTTTGGGTTCTTGCCAGGCTCTTCCATTGCGCTTGCCTTTTTCTGCCGGCGAACTGCAAGAAAAAGGGCAGGTGCGACCGGGCGGTCAGGAGCTCTATCATCGATCGCAGCTTCCCATTGGAACGTAAATGGACCCGGCCCCGGGAGCTCGGGCCATGACTGCGCAAAAAAACGGCCCAGAAGGTCAGGTACCCATGGAAGGTACCCACCCGGGATCGCACTAGGTTAAAGGCAGCTGCGCAAAGAACGAACCTACCTACTGGGCCCTGGTGCCGCCAGCAGCGCACCGCAGCTAAGCCCGCGCTGAGAGCCACAAAGCGCCACCCCTGCTTGGTCAGAATTCCAGAGCCCAAGAAAATAAAGCTGCACCTTCCGGTCGCGTCACTTCCGCCCTACCCTCGAAACAATTTCTTTCTTCCCCCCATACCCAGAACAATCCTCCTCTTTTGACTCTCTACTTTTCCAGTTCTTCATCTCGATTGCATCAATTCGCATCACAAAGAATCGATTCTTCAATTGTTCTGTGCGAAATCCTCGATTTGACCGAAATCCCTATCCCATTACACGCGTTTTATCGCCAAGCACGCTCCTCCCCCATCACATCACATCATATCATCACCTGACGATCATGCCTCCCAAGGCCGCCTCCAAGAAGGCTGCTGAGCCCAAAGCAGCACCGAAGAAGACTTCCCTTCCCAAGAAGGGCAACGAGATCGCCAAGAAGCCTGTCGCGAAGCCCGTTGGAAAGAAGGAAGCTACTACCAATGGCGCGACTGCCGCCTCCAAGAAGCGCAAGCTCGCCGAGGAGGAATCAGAAGTCGAAGCGTCCGAGGCCGAGGAGCCCGAGAAGACCGAGAAGCCTGCCCCCAAGAAGAACACCAAGAAGGCAGCAGAGCCTGCTGTGAAGAAGACCAAGACTACCACTGCCGCCCCCAAGAAGAAGGCCGCTGCTACCGAGGAGACCGAAGAGGAGCCCAAGGCCGCGAAGCCTGCAAAGAAGGCAGTCGCGAAGAAGGCCGAGCCCAAGAAGACTGCTGCCGCAAAGAAGACTGACGCCAAACCCGCCGCTGATAGCAAGAAGCGCAAGTCAAGCGAGGAGGCGACAGAGGACGAGAAGCCCAAGGTGAAGAAGTCAAAGACCGACACTGCTGAGGTCGACAGCCAGGCTACGGAATCGGCCAAGGCCACAGAGTCTGCGGATGAGGAGCCCGAGGCTGTCAAGCCTGCGAAGGCTACCAAGAAGGCCGCTGTCGCTGCTCCCAAGCCTCCCCCCGCCCACCCCCACAAGATTGGCAAGAAGATCAACTCTGCGCCGACCCAGATCCTCGACGTATATGTATTCGGCGAGGGATCTTCTGGCGAGCTCGGTCTCGGCAGCAAGAAGCTTGACGGCAAGAAGATTGTCGACGTCAAGCGCCCGAGATTGAACCCTAAGCTCGATGCCAAGGACGTCGGTGTTGTTCAGGTTGCCTGCGGTGGCATGCACGTCGCTGCTCTGACCAAGGATAACAAGATCCTCACATGGGGCGTCAACGACCAGGGCGCTCTTGGTCGCGACACCAACTGGGATGGAGGACTCCGCGACGCTGACGCCGAAGAGGAGGAAGACGACGAGGACGACTCCGGTATCAACCCCCACGAGAGCACGCCCACCGCCGTTGACGCGACGCACTTTGCTCCCGATGTCAAGTTCACTCAGGTCGTTGCCAGTGACAGTGCCACATTCGCCTTGACTGAGGATGGCAGAGTTTACGGATGGGGCACATTCAGAGTAAGCCATCTAGTCGCAGCATGAGGTGATCAATAGCTAACATTCTCCAGTCGAGCGACGGTATCCTCGGTTTCACGGACAAGATCCAGATCCAGAAGACTCCCGCCTACCTTCCCACATTGAAGAACATCACGGCGCTTGCTGCCGGTTCCAACCACGTTCTCGCTCTCGACGACAAGGGTGTCGTTGTCGCCTGGGGCTGCGGCCAGCAAAACCAGCTTGGACGCCGTATCATTGAGCGCAACAAGCTTTCCTCCCTTATCCCCCAGAGCATGGGTCTTCCCAAGAATAAGGTCGACCGCATTGCTTGCGGATCCTACCACAGCTTTGCTCTTGGCAAGGATGGTGCCGTCTGGGCCTGGGGTCTCAACAACTTTGCCGAGACTGGTATTGAGATGGGCGCTGGCGAAGATGACGCCGTTGTTCTGCGTCCTACCATTGTCGAGTCGCTCAAGAACTACAAGATCAAGCAGATTGCTGGTGGCGAGCACCACTCTCTTGCTTGCACCGAGGACGGCAAGCTCTTGACCTGGGGACGTCTGGATGGCCACCAGGTCGGTATCCCTGTCGAGGAGCTGGATGCGGAAAGCGTCATTAAGGATGAGAGCAACAACCCCCGCATTCTCTCCAAGCCTACTGCTGTTGAGGGTAAGTTCAAACTGTCCATTCCTTACCGAGTGTCGCTAACATAAGTCACTAGATATCGCCAAGTGTGTATATGTTGCCGCTGGTGTCGACAACAACTTTGCTATTGACGGAAAGGGCGAGGCTCACTCGTGGGGCTTCTCTGCCAACTACCAGACCGGCCAGGGCACGACTGAAGATATCGAGACCCCGACCACCATTGACAACACCGCTGTCCGCGGTAAGAAGCTCGTCTTCGCTGGCGCCGGTGGCCAGTACTCTATCCTGGGCGGTGTTGCCGATGTTCCCAAGGTCAACGGCTTCGCGCCCCAACCAGCCACTGGTGGTTTCAGACCTGTTTTCTAAGTCTCTTAGACAAAAGGTTGGACCTTGACAGCGCGGCGGCGAGTTCCAAATGACAGCAAGCGGATACGACTGGCTTCTACAAGAACACGGATGATGAATGAGCAAGCGCCGCAATCACCAGAAACAAGAGGTGGACTCGATACATGAGCCGAGGCGGCATACCAATTCCAGTCGCGATATTTTTTCCTTTGGTTCATTCTCAGCATGAGCTATTTTCACTCGCGGTACGATACATTCGTGCGACAATCTGATTTTGACGAGTTTCCGGTTTTTTCTCAAGTGTCCCCTGAGCGGACTAATAGAATTTCATTCCCAACAAGAGCGGCAATGAGGCTTCCACTCGGCATGAACGGATGGGCAGGTATAGAAACGGCCTCGAAGGGGAGTCAAACTTATGATACCAACGAGGATTTTCTGCTCGACAAGGCCCTTCCTATTGTGTGCCTAGCGGAGAATCGTGACCGCCGCGGAGGCTGTTTGGCTATGGAGACTTATGATAGTCTCCTGTAATACTATGCTTGGTCTCGAGAAGTACTCAAGGTCTGATCCTCCCCTTTTCTTTACACTTGATGTGTATATTATGAGAGGATCTCTGGACCAGCATTATGCATTTTTATCTTTTAGCAGCATGGAAAACGGAAGGGAAAGGAGGCATTGGACTATCAAAAAATTTATTTCTGGCTTCATCTGAACATGATTAAAAGTATTGTACAATGACGTGAAGCAGTCGGCCCCTGGGCTTCCGCCTCCCCTGGTAGCCGTGGGCATGCGTCTGTCTCGTTGCCTTGTTCGTCTATCGTGGCCCCTTTTTGGACTCCCGTTGATTCTCGCACCTCTCCCGTGACCCCCACACCGTTCAGCTCTCGTGGTATGCACCGAAATACGCCGTCTCCATGATATGAACGACGCCTTCCCGTCGCGGCTGGAGTTTTTTTCGATGTTTCCTCGCGTCTAACCAATTTGCCAATGATTGTAAGGTTCTTGCATGCGAATCTCCCTACCCGTTCAACCCTTCAGCCCAGCAGCCGCCTTGGCCAAAGATCCGCCGCTGCCCCTAGAGCTGAAAATACCCATGATACCGAACCCGACGTAAAACAGCGCAAGCGGGTATGCCACGAGCCCGCGCATACCCCTCATCCTTCCAACGGCGCAGAACATGCCCGAGGCGGAGTACGTGCACCAAAGGATAGCCATGGTAGTAAACACAATACCGAGGGGCGTGTCCATGGGCATGAAGACACCAAAGACGCTGGTGGCGACCAGGGGCAGGAGACAGTAGCCCAGCACGGAGGAGGAGCGGGTGAAGGTCAGGGTCGAGGAGAAGTGGCCCGCGGCATTGCGCGACGGGTGGTCGTGGTGGGAGTCGGGGGCGCCGGGGTAGCCTCCGCCGACGGAGGAGACGGGGCCGCCGTATTGGGGTGCCGAGGGGGCCGATGAAGGGTGGGCGTCGGTGGGCGTCATGAGAGAGAGGATGATGTGGAGGGAGGTGCTTCCTAGGAGGGCGAGGCCGTAGATGTAGCCGAAGTGGATTTTGCCGGAGAGGAGGAGGAAGGTGCCGTACTGAGGGAGGAGAGAGGTTAGCTTTGTATTTGTGGTAGGGAGGGGAGGTGAGGTTTCGGGTTTTGCAACGTACGGAGAGGACGAAGAGTAGGGGACCGAAGAGGTCTGCGTCGTCCATTAGGTGTTGATCGATTCGGCGGAAGGGGTTCAGGACCGCCAGAGTCTATAAGTCATCGGAGGTCAGCCAGCTTGTTCTCCCCACGTACAGCTGGATTTTCAAAGGGGTTGGGGGAGCAAGTTCTCCCAATGCTTCGCGCCCACTTGCGCATCACACCAAAGTAAACGCACCTTTGCCTGAATATGTCCAAAGTTAACCCCAAGCTCCTCGAGCAAGGGCGGCTCGCCATCGTACCCTTCAGTCGAAAAGGCCGCCAGCCAACCCGTGCGCAGACCGCCCTGCTCGCCCATACGACCCGACACACCGACGCCGCCGCCAGGAGGGGCACCGAAAGCCGCCGCGCCGCCGAAGCCGCCTGCTGCGGCGGGTTGAGCTCCATAGCCGTACGAGGCCTGTTGTGGGGTCGCTTGGCCCGAGACGGCGCCGGCTGGGGAGTAGGAGGAGGGGTAGAACTGGAGGTTTTGAGCGCCTCCTCCTCCGCCGCCGCCGCCTCCTACGCCGGGGCCGTAGGATTGTTGGGGTTGGTAGTAGTTTGACATTGTGCTTTTTCGGTTGTTTGGTGTAGGTGTTGTGAGGGAGGTAGCTTGGATGTTGAGGTTGCCCTTTTTATTACCAAACCCCCTTGTCTGAAGTTAGCGCGCCTCGATTCGTTTCGATTCGTCGTCAGTACGTAATGGGTATCGTTGCAAATCTGGTTGGAATAGAATCGCAGGTGATGAAAATTGGTTGTCGGTTTTGGGCTCGAGAGCCGGTTTGCGCCGGGGTTGCGAGGCGCGTTTGGTTGCGGGAGTGGACAGGTGGTACCTGGAGCTGGCGATATTGGAGACGTAGCTTCTTTCGAGGTTCACCACGTCAGTCAGGGCTGAACGCCGGAGCTGTACAGTGGGGCTATGGAGAATGCCTCGTGCCTGATGTTTGAGGCAGAAGGATGATGCTAGTCAGGCACAAAGTACTATCGATAAGATAGTTCTGTGGCTCGTCTCGCTTTATCGATAAGATAAGGTGACGTCCGATCATGTATCCCTCGGACCTTTCTCGACAACCCTGGGCCGGCATTCCCAGTTCCCCAGTTCTCCATTTCCAGTGTACGGAGCACGCAACAGTGTGTTATTTGACGAGCACATTATGCATCAGCAACATGAGATGAACTACGGATACAGTAAGAGTCACGCATAAGTCTCTAGACCATTTCATCACCCTGCTGGGATTGGCAACGTCACGCAATTCTCTCTTCTCTGCTGCAAATTACAAGCATCTCCAGAGAGCGAGCAACGGCAGCGAATTCCTCTTCCATCTAGCGTCAAACAAAGCGCAAATTTCTGCCCGCCAGATTAGGCAAGCAAATGTTCCAGGGATGTTTGTCCGGGGATGAACGCTTCTTCTGCCAACCCACACAACCCAATCCCCGACCAAACAGTACGTATGCGGGCAGACTGCGGCAGTTTTCTGCTGCTACTGACTCTCTTCACTGGAGCCCCTATCAACCCATGGCATCGGTAACTGGCCACGAGGTGACTCCGCCAAGCACCACGGCAGTGGACTTATCCCCACTCAATCCACGCAAAATCAGAAGTTCTGGACAACATCGCGAGGCCAGAGCGCGTGCTCTCCAACAGGAACAAGTTCTCATTGTCTCCATCTCATTTCATGGTGCTCATACTATCAATAAATAGACATCTGGTTCTCGGGCATGTTTCGTTCGAAAAGCCGACTATTTGGTGTCGTGCTACTGCTCAACTGAGTCGTGTGCCTGCTCAATACGATTTAAAGCCCTAGTCAACGTTCCATCGAGTCCGTGTACGGCTGCTCTCCGTGATGGTGGACTGAGATCTTCCGGTCGAGGCTCTCCGGAGCCCGAGGAAATGGTGCGAGCTGCTTTTCCGTTGGGTCGCTGGTGTAGTGTTCCCCATCGTGGCCCATAAACCGCGTATTGCGTTCTTCAACGACCTCGACCGCATCCCCAGTAAGTCCAGGGAACCCCTCGCTCATGCGGTCCTGGGAATCTCTCGATTGCCGGGATTTCTATCCCACGGAGATGTCGATGGATCCTACTTCGAGGCCATGTCTCCATCAATGAGGCGGCCCTACGATGGTGGAGTTTGTTTTCCACCAACGGGAGGACGGTCTGCTTTCTAGCCCAATTTAACAAGGGGGTCAATGGTGGTTGCGAATAGAATGCCACGGCCTGGATGGCAGCTGTTTGCAACGACAGTACAGCGTTACTTTCATCCAGACCTAGCCTGGCAGCTTTCAGAGACGAGGGCTCCCTGTTGACGATGCGAAGTTTGTATTTAAGCTTGATGGCAGCCGGCTAATCGGCAAGAGCTGATCCCTCTCGATCAGTCTTCTCTGCTCCAGTCATTCATTTCTTGCCTTGCCATTGGTCTTTTTGGTCTTTCAACAGCAAACATGGGTCTCTACAGGTTCCTCATCGCCATCCTCCCGGTCGTCTTGGCCGCGGACCTCTACGTCGCGCCCGCCGGCTCAGACAGCGCTGCCGGCACTCTCGCGGCTCCTCTCAAGTCCATCCAAGTTGCCGTCGACAAGGCCGTTGCCGGCGACACCATCTACCTCCGTGCCGGCACATACTCGCCTACGACTAACATCAAGATCACCAAGAGCGGTACTTCCGCCAAGCCATACACCCTGACGGCTTACAACGATGAAGCCGTCACCATCGACGGAGAGGCTTTGCCCGGCACCCCCGGCGCTCTCGACTCCTCTCTCGCCAATGCCGACCGCGGTGTTCTTCACATCGAGGGAGCCAACTACTGGAAGTTTTACAAGTTGACCATCATCAACGGTCCCTACGGCGTCTACCTCCGCGACGGATCCAACAACTACTTTGAGCGCATCGTCACCCACGACAACTACGAGACGGGCTTCCAGATGCAGGGCACCCTGAGCAACAACCAGGTCATCTACCTCGACTCCTACCGCAACCGCGACCCTCGCAAGAACGGCGAGAGCGCTGACGGCTTCGCCTGCAAGGAGGGCTCCGGCACGGGTAACATTCTGAAAGGCGCTCGTCTTTGGGAGAACGTCGACGACGGTCTGGATCTCTGGTAAGTTTAACGTTTCCACATCCCCAAACTCACCTCAACTGAGCACCCGCTAACAAACACAATAACAGGGAGTTCAAGTCCCCCGTCACCATCATGGACACCATTTCATGGGGCAATGGCGTGAACCGCTGGGGCTTCACCGACTTCCAGGGCGACGGCAACGGCTTCAAGCTAGGCGGCGGCGACGCCGCCGACGTCGGCTCGGCGAACCACGTCATCACCAACAGCATCGCCTTCAACAACGCGGCCAAGGGCTTCACCGACAACAAGCAGCCCGGCAACTTCCAGTTCACCCGCAACACGGCCTACAACAACGGCGCTGTCGGGTTCCAGACCATTACGACCAAGTCGACGCTAAAGAGCAACGTCGCTGCCGCCAACTCGGCAACCACGGCAAAGTCGGGCCAGACGTCGCTCGTCAGCGGCACCACCAGCAGCGGCAACTCGTGGGACGGCAGCGCCACCTGGTCCGCTTCGAGCTTCAAGAGCGTTGATGTTAGCTTGGTCAAGGGTGCGCGCCAGGCTAACGGCAAGATTGTGGCGAGCAACTTTTTGATTCCTACCTCTGGCGAGGCTATTGGTGCCACCACCACCTGGTCCTAGATCTTGGTCTTACTTCTTAGAACATACTATTCGACCCCGTAAATAATTCATCTGTACATACTTAGACTGCCATAGAGCGGAGTACATAACCCAACCAGAACATAGCCCGTTACCTATAAGACTCTTCTTGCCTTATTTCGCGTGATCACCTTCGCCTGGATGATTTGCCTGAATGGTTATTTTGCTTCTTGAAAGCTTCGAAATGGTCGCTGTTTAGTCACAGAGACTGATGTACCAAGATTCTGAACAGTTGGGTCGACCTTGGGACGGGCAAAGGAACCCCTCCAGGTTGTGCTGTTGATGTCTGCGCTAACTCCTATCCTTCATCGTGCTCGCTATGCAGTGAACAATCAGTGAGTATTAGACACTCGAGGTGAGAACAAGGTTCCAGGCGTATGCAGTGCCGTCGAGACGTTGAAAGAGAGCACAAGCGCAGCGGAACATTTCGACGATGGACTCAAACTCAAAATCAAGACCCGTGCTCTATTGACAAGGGGAACTCATTGCTCATTTCCTGCGAGCGGATGACAAGCCACAGGAGAAGCGACCCATTAAATTCAATGTTGTGGCTCATGGGAGTACATGTGGCGCAGTAAGGTATGCACGGAAGGCCCGAGAAAAAAGTTGTCGGCGCCCGGCCAAACCCGCTCCTCCGAAGCGCAGGAAGCTCGGAATTTCTCGTCGGCAATTTCCATGTCGTCGATGGATTTTTTTGGATAGGTCGCGAGCCATCCTTACGACCAGCGCCCCCCCGTACCAGCCAAGCTGTACTGAACACGCGCGACATCGCATCTCGGGCCCCCGTATACGGTGCGATCAGTCATCAAGCATAAATCCGCCTCTATCAACAACATCCCTACCGCCCTTCGCGCAGAGGCTACTATTACAGCAAACATGGTGAGTTCGCCTCAAGCTTTCCCCTCCTAGCCTCGCGCGCGTGTCCCTTCGAAGACGATTGCGCCACCGCAGCTCATCATCCTCCTACCGTTCCTCGAAGCGCAAGTTGACTAACCCTCGCAACCCTTAGGCGTACCGCCTCATCACCCAGGTCGTCTTCGTCGGCACCCGCATCGTCGGTCGCTCCTTCGCCGCAGCCTACAAGCAAGCGCAGGCCTCTTCTGAGTACGCCCGCGCGCAAGCCAAGAACGGCAACGCCCCCGCCGGCACAAAGGGCGCCGGCTCCGGCGGCTCGGGCATGACACTCGACGAGGCGTGCAAGATCCTCAATGTTGAGGCACCCGGCAAGAACGGCGCCGACGCCAACGCCGGCGAGGTCATGGAGCGCTTTAAGAAGCTGTTTGACGTGAACGATCCCAAGAAGGGCGGCAGCTTCTACCTGCAGAGCAAGGTGCTCCGGGCGAGGGAGAGGTTGGAGAAGGAGATTGGGCCGCTGGTGGAGAAGGAGGAGGTCGAGGCTGAGGTGAAGGAAGGGTTCAAGCCCAAGATCTACAAGGACCGGTGAACTCCCACTGCGGGAGCGGCGGCAGAAGGGTCTTCACGAGGACGCTGACGCAACCATCGACGACGACAGTTCTCTCTGCGACGAGCGACCTTAGGCCGGGCCAGACCGAATCGATGTACGAATGGACCCCGATGGAGGGAGGGGAGGGGGCATGACCACTGAGAGTGCTCTGCCAAGAGCTGCTTGAGGGGCAGAAAACTGTATTGGAACAAACTTCACTCGACTCCGCATGGCATGGCGTTTTTAGGAGGTGGAATCTCTTTTTTGATTATTTTGGGCGCGCGCTCAAGGCACCGCCAGCATTGGCATGGTTAGACGATAAAAAGGGGCTTTGCGCGAAGAAAATGTGTTAATACTACTGTACTATAAGAGATGAGGAAAAGAGATGGAGGAAGAGAGACGAGGGGATTTGGACCGATGAGAAGAGGTCTTTAGAGAATGCAAACACCGTCTTGCGACTCATGCTTGGAGCCACATGACATGCGACTAACGCTCAGATGGGTTTTCGAAGGGCAGTTCGACGTTGCTTGGATGCTGATATTAGTCCATGGCCTTGGGTGCACATGTCAGCACATGCCAACCAATTTGATTCATGGTTTCCAAGCCGTCAAGTCTTCCCACTCAAATCACATTCTTTTGTTCATTCCGAGCAGCCAACCGCCCGCCTCACTCCTCCGATTGTCGGCCTACCTCAAGCACCTTGTAATGACACAGCACAGCCTTCCCCATCCACCAACACGGGCTTCCAAGCCTCAGACATTCAAAGCAAAACCAAAAAAAAAACCAAAAAGTGAACTGATCACGATGATCAATTTCTCGGTAATTGCCCAGAGGCGGATTCGAACCGCCGTCAACACGGATCGCTGTATAGAAGAACCACAACGTATCATCCTAACCAACTAGACGATCTGGGCGAATTGAAGCTTGCATGTGTCTCCTTGGTGGGGGAGGAAGCTTGGCTGGCAGATCCGCTCGGAAACGGGTCTATGGACTCTCAAGTGAGGTGGGAGACGAGATGCGTGAAGGCTTACGTGCGGTGGAGCAAGTGGGTGTATTCCTTGAGGGCTGCATGGACTTCTCATGTAAGACTTGAGAGATGAGCAGAATGAAGACAGTATTGGGAGATATTGCTCGAACTTCAAGTCCATGGTGAATGGCGATCGGATGCCCTTGACGAGACTTGTCTGCGTTACTGGGTTGAAATTCGAAGACCCTATCTAACGACAAGTTTACGCTTGAGCGGAATCTAGAGCACAGAGAGATGAGATCCAGACAAAAAGTTGTAATGCGAAAGTCGTGTAATGAACAACACCGTTTCCTCATTCGATCCGCTCTGAAGAGTATCTTCGGCCTTAGACTCTGCCCGATATATAATTCTGGTCCGGTCGTTCACCTTCGCGTCTCACTGTTGACCATATTCAGGGCCTCAGACAAATCATCCGTTCTGGTCCTCTCCATGTACTCGATCCCATTCTCGCTCTGAATCCGGATCTCGCCAGCCCCAGAACCCCGAGCAGCCCTTCGTCGCTCGACGATCAGCCACCGCGACGCTCCCACAACAGCCCGGACAATATCCACAAAGTTGAGGGCATCCTTCAACGCCCTCCATTGGAAGCCACGCGCAGGGACGCTGGTCTCGGCGGTAGGCCGAGTAGAGCCGTCAGCCCCATCCCAAACGCCCCATGCGTCCTGCTCTTCTGCTCCTGCCCCTCCATACGCAGTCTCAGGCTGCTGAGGCCAGACTTCCCGGCTTCTTACAGGGATGATTCGCGTCGCGGAGTTCTGATCTGTGCCCTGCCCATCTTCGTCGCCGGCATTGTGTCCGGGTTTTTGCGGTGCCGCTGGGTCTCTGTAAATGGAGTAGGGGTAGGCATAAAGGTGGAGGATTGATACGGCTGCCATCTCGAAGCAAAGGAGTGTGTTGGGAATGCCGACTGCCCATGACGGGTGCGAGATGTACGCTGTTGGTTTCAATGGGCCGCCGTCGCCTGTGAGAAACTCGAAGATGCCCTGATATAGCTTCGGTGTTAGCACATGTTATGATAAATGACGGCCAGGAGAGGAGGCTGTTGGGAGCCACCTGCCTAAAGAGGGGAGATTTGCACTCACGGTCTGAAGGTAGAATAGAAACACCACTACCTTGATGGCGAGGAATTTGAGCAGAGGCCGATGCTGGGCCATCTCCTTTGAGGTTTGGTGGTAGAATTGCAGCAGGCACATCATGGCTGTGACGAGGGACAAGATCTCAATGACCATAACCTATTCGCAGTCAGCGTCTCTACCTTAATCTCTTCCGCATTCTATTCTCGAGAAAGTTGTCTCCATGGGAGCCTCACTGACCCAGATTTTGGCATGGCTAGGATCCTTGGATTCCTTGCAATACACGTCGGCCGCTTCCGTGATGCACTTTGTGAGAGCGCCGAAGAACTTGACGGTACAGAACTGGAAGACTCCGAACCAAATAATCTAGGAAAAATTTGTCAGACGCAGGCTCGGTAACAGACACCCTGTTCGTTATCTGCATTAACTCACGTTGAACCATTTCAGCCCGTCCTCAGTTTGTCCCTTTTTGTTTCTTCCCACATGTTTGACGAAGAACCGTGTGGGATTGAGCCACTTCTTCGGTTCCACCAAGTTGAAGACCCGGCGTAATGTATTCAGATCGGAATGCAGTAACTGGCAGAGCAACAAGAAGAAGGAGGCGATGACTAGGGATTCGTAAAACTCGTAGACGCTTCCGATGTACACCTGCTTCTTGTAAAAGATGATACTCAGGGTGCAGGCGATGGAGTAGACGGGAACCATCAATAGGATCCGGATGATTCTGCACAACATTGTCTCTTTGTCAGGCTCCATAAACTTTCTTTAATAGTAGTGTGCTATAATATGATCTAAATGGAACTTACTGCTTCTGTTCTTTGGGCTTCGTGTAGTTGCTGGCGTGTCTAAAGATGAGATATGCCGTAGCAAAACAGGCGACTATGGTTGCTCCTGCTGATAGGGATATCAACAGGCCGTGGACTCGAATACCGCCACCAAGCTTCTGTTCAACAACTAGGTAGTTGATCTGTCAGACACGTCTTCAGCCGATCTCGTCCTCTCCGTTAACGTACTTGGAACATCCAAAGGGTGCTCTTTGCATTTCGCCATTGGATTATCCAGGCCAGGCCAAAGCCGCGGAGTGTTACTCTCGGGTCGACCGCCTCCACGATCTCGAGTCGCGTCTTCGGTTAGATCACAATGGGAGTAAGCCTTCGGCTCCGTAGATTTTCGTGCTCTCTATATTTCTGGTTCTTGTTTTTTTCTGGCAGTCGTCTTGTCGATGTCTTTTGTTTCCTCTTTGCGATGAGTGTCAATGCAAAGGTGCCACAAGGCGGATTGTTAAAGATTCAAACAGACTTGGTATAGCAAGAAAATGGAGGGATGTTCAGAACGGATACTGACAGACGGCGATGATGTAAGACGACACAAAAACAGTGAGGATATATCGGCTGCGCTTCTGGAAAAGCAGGCTTTCTTATCAAATGAGTAGAAAGCTAGGGTAACTACTTGAAGGGATCAATCTCACCGAAACTTTCTGCATTCTCTTAGTACCATAGCTAATTATTACCTTATCTACCTTAACGAGACAAAAAGTGACGGATCTACGCATTTCAGATCATAGTGACCAATAGACTTTTTCGAATGTTCTGAACGAAGTAGATTGAATAGCCCCCTCCCCCACTTTACAGCCTTTGCCCAGCCATACTATCCGCCGGCTTACTCGTGTAATTGCAACTGTACACGCAGACGTTGGCTTGGAAATCTCTCTTGGAATATTAAGGTTTCGTTACAAAGTCCAGGCGCGAACGCGGTGACAAGGGTGAACCCCCCACTAGGCTGAGCCGTCATAGCCACACTTTACACGTCAACGGGAGATTCGGGAAGACCCGTTCGTATATCTAACGGCATAACCCAGTCTCGGCATGGAGTAATCCGTTTGGTCGATATCTTTTTGACCTTAATTGTAGAATACCTGATTCGTCCGCTTTTGCCCCATACGGTCGTAAACGCGACGGAACCCGAGTTACGAACACGAGATACGAGCTAGGCGTCTCGTCAGTCACAGACTCGCCCGCTTCAGAGTTTGGGGGTTGACAGATCTGCCTTGCTGGGCCTTGGCGGCTTTGAGTGCCGGTTTCCCCTGAATAGGCATTTGCTTCAACCTTGCGCGATGGGACAGTAGTTACCGTCCCCGTAGCTGAGACACGGACTTCGGTCTCTAACTACAGGTCCTGAATGAAGATCATAGTATCGTTACCCGCGTAAAGGGCGAGCTATCTTTGGCTCTGCCTGCCGTAGCCTGCGCTTGTAGTAGCTAATCTCTATGTTCATCCTACCCCACGATCATGACACAGTCCCATAAATTTTCTTGGTGGATAGTCTGTAGTCTAAAGGAAACCACGAGGCGGGATTGAGAGACTTCCAAGATCCCGGAGCCGTACGGAGCTTGAGTCAGTGTTTGTCTAGGTAAGTCACAGTGCCTGAACATCCTGAGCCTCGATACTGACTGGTCAAAAGTTTCGGCTCCCACCGCTTAGCAAAGTGGTGAAACACTGGCTGCATTCTAACGAATGGACATATGCTTCCCATTTACTATGGCGGAAAAGCGGTAAGAAAGAAAGAAAGAACGATGAATGGCTGCGCAAGGCGCATTTGACGAAGTTGATTGTCCGCGTGTTCATCGGATCGGTTGACATCAGTTCGTCTGAATTCCGTCCCAATGTCATAACAAGCGACAGGTCATCGTGCGGACACAACGTTTCGCCTTTCGGCTTTGCAAATGGCTCCCGATATTTGGTTTACCATTTACATTGTGGCGAATTAGATTGGCTTGATTTGCAGTCGTCTGCCTCATAGGAGATGGGAAAAAGTCTTGGATAGGGTTGAAGATCTCGCTAGGAGCTATCCGTTGAGACCCATCTCACGACTTGGTATGGAATTCAGAGTCAAGATAATTTCCGTCATCCTAAGTTGATCAATTGTTGCCTCCATTATGGCGCTCTTAAAGACATTCTAAGCAGCTAAATGTCTTTTACATAAGGAGCCCATAAGTTGAAAGTTGAAATGGACGATTCTCGATGGGACAGCTCTGCCTATATTTCACCTCGCCCTGTCAACATTCACAATAGCAAACTGACCTCCAAACCCGAACACAATGGCTTCATCTTCACCAGTAGCATCCGGTTTCTCCTGGCTAGGCAACGAGAACAGTCCAGACTCAACGATCCAGCCATACGGCTACATCGCCACCGCTTTCTTGGTCGTCGTCTTTTCCATCTTACTCAAAGTTTCCAGGCACGACGATGTACCCCTCCTGCAGCCGCCGCCAAAGTGGTTTCGACCGACCTTCCTAGCACAGATTGAATTCTTCAAAACAGGAAAGGACTTGATTGCGAAAGGGAGAGCCACGTTGCGCGACAAACCCTACAGGGTCCTTTCAGAGAGTGGAGAGATTCTTGTTCTGCCCACTCGTTTCGCCAACGTCATTCGGAATGAGGAGGGGTTGAGCTTCGGGGCTGTGGTCATGCGGGTGAGTTGATGGAGCCGTGGAACTACCCAATGTGGTTCTGTGACACTCAAACTTGGAGGAGGTCTTCGGTGTACTGATATCCTGGTTTAATTTATAGGACCTCCATGGCGAGATCCCAGGCTTCCAGCCCTTTGGGTCCGTTGACGACGACAAGAAGATCCTGCAAGTAGTTGCTCGAAAGCAGCTTACCAAGTCGCTCAGTAAGTTACGCGGGATCCTGGCTCGGCAAGACACATTCAGATGGCTGACTAGAAAACTCTCTCCGATAGACATCATCACCGAACCGCTCTCTCTCGAAACCGCATTCGCAGCAAACCTCATCTTCGGCGAATCTCAAGGTAGATATCATAACCATCTCCTAGACTTCTCGGTATATCTTTCTTTGGAAACCAGACTGACGATACTACCCCTTCAGAATGGCATCAACTCCCCCTAAAAGACACAATCCTCGACCTCGTAGCCCGCCTCTCCTCCCGCGTCTTCCTCGGCCCAGAACTCTGCCGCAACGAAGACTGGCTCCGCATCACAAAGGACTACACCGTCCTCTCCTTCACCGCAGCCGTCAAGCTCCGCGCCGTGCCCCTCCGTCTGCGGCCCCTCCTTCACTGGTTCTCCGCAGACTGCAGACGCACGCGTGATTCCCTTGCCGAGGCCCAGAAGCTCATCGCACCAGTAATTGAGAAGCGGCGTGCGGAGAAACGGGTCGCCGCTGCTGCTGCTGCTACTGAAGGGCAGGGTGCTGCGGCGCCGGTCTCGAACGATGCTATTGAGTGGGCTGAGGCTGAAGCGCAGGGAGGGGCGTACGATGCTGCTATCTTCCAGCTTACGCTTTCTTTTGTGGCTATTCACACTACAACGGACCTCCTTGCTCAGACGCTCATCTATCTGGCCAAGGAACCGGAGCTCATCGAACCCCTAAGAGCCGAGATCGTAGAGGTCCTGAAAGCCGAGGGATGGAAAAAGAGCGCGCTGTACAACATGAAGCTCCTAGACAGCGCCATCAAGGAGACACAAAGAATGAAGCCCGTCTCCATGCGTAAGTCCAGGCTCCCCCTTTAGTTCTATTTAACAGTCCAGACATCCATAATCTAACAAATCTACCCTCCACCAATAGTCCTTATGCGCCGCCTCGCCACCAAAGACGTCACCCTCCCAGATTCCAACATCACCATCCGCCGCGGGGACACCGTGTCCGTCGACACCTACAGCTCCATCGACCCGACCGTCTACGAAAACCCCGAAACCTACGGCATCCACCGTTTCCGCCGCATGCGCGAGCAGCCCGGCGGCGCCAACAAGGCGCAGCTCGTTACGACGAGCCCCGAGCACCTGGGCTTCGGCCACGGGTTGCACGCTTGCCCCGGCCGCTTCTTCGCTTCCAACGAGGTCAAGGTTGCGCTCTGTCACCTGCTGTTGAAGTATGATTGGAAGCTGGCGCCGGGCTCGCCTTCGGAGCCTGTCGTCACAGGCGCCTCTATGAATGTGAATCCGAAGGCTGTGGTTATGGTCAAGAGGAGGTTGGAGGAGTTTGATATTGATAATCTTGGATTTGGGGATTTGGACTCTTGATCTTGACGAGTCGGGTGGACCTCTTGGTACAGTCTGGAGAGGACGATTATTTGATCAGTCAATCATTCCAATTCCCTTTGTTTCATTGAACGGAAGAGAAACGCGAGAGACTTTGGCCGGCAGGTTGTTATGCTACTGAGCTTACACCTTGACACAGATCAACTCCACGACACGAGATTGAACACAAACAGGGTTCCCCAAAAATGGAATATTTATATAGTTACTCGGAGGAAAAGATGCTCAAATGACATGAAATGGCTCAACCCCCCTTACTTAGCATTGAATGTGATTTTGTATCAGGTGGCAGTTGGGATAGGCATAATCTGGGCCGTAGAGCTTCAAAAGACCTCATGATTCGCTTCGAAAGCTTACAATATGCTTTATGAATTCATCTATTCAGTAGGGAGCATCATGGCTTGAGAATCTCAAAGGGGAGTGGCGGGAGCGGTCTAGCGAGACGCTTTAATGCCTCTCCCCTGATTCTGAATGCACCATGCAAGACCGACCAAGAAGAACGACGCTCATTCTGGTAGTCCAAGAGAAGTCACACTCTACTATGGTCCTCTACATCCCTCTAACAAACCGGGTTCCTTCCAGGGAGCCTTTAAAACGCGGCTTATGGAGCGTGAACACTCCGGAACGCAAGAATGCGCCTCTCTTGAAGAGACCGTTCAAGTGAAATGGTGAGATCTTGCGTTCATAGGTGCGTTAAGCGACGATGGAATGGAACTTCACATTGTAAAGGTACTTGATTTGTATACTAGCAACAGAAGATCGGTTGTATAAGCCTCCTCGCTTCTCCCCAGTATCCTCGTCTGTATACTTACAAAAAGGGCCTTAGGGATAGAAGACGGCAGATCTTGGTCTTGATGAACAGTGTTGTCATAGGAGGGCCAGGGGAAATGCACCTAGCAAGTCTGCATCAGGAGGAAGCCAGCTTTCATGTCCCGAGGAGTATGGCTTCAATGCCAGAAACCGCGTGAAGAGAAACATGTAGCATCTCTGCTGGCAGATGGCATCATATACCTGCTTTTTCTTGATCAATACCTGTTGTTACAGCTTACACCTGGAAACACAATTGCTCGGTTCAAGGTGTTTTATGAGAGATGGATCTCATGCTGCACCTCTTCACACGGAAAAGGGGCAAGGTAGCGTTTAGATCGAGGATGTGCCGAGGAGTTTAAGAAAATCATCTTGCCAAGGGGAGAGACGTGGAGTACACGTCGTGAATTGGGGATGCAATGTACTTGCTCGATCTTCCCCAATTAATAGGTCGTTACTGAGAAAGACGTTGTACGTGGAACAATGCTGCTAATCTAATAAGGAAGAGGTATAGGCCCAAGAAGCAGAAGATCCACCAAAGGGTAGCCAGGGGCAGCACCATCAGCCAGGGCAAGCTCAGGTCCTTAGACTTGCGCGCATAGCAACACCGTCAGGCGTGAAGCGGTAGCATCCGACCAGCCAAGTGGATTCGTCCTCAGTGTCCCTCTCCAGCATCTTCAGCATCTTTAGCTAAACAACAGATGAAATCTACTCCTTTGTATTTGATATTGCAATGTATCAACTAAAGAGATGTCACGTCATAGGTACAGTAGCTGGCTGACTGGATATATTGCACCAAGAGGTCTCTGAGACTGGAGACCTGAGATATCTACAAGCTATGGCCAGCAACCGTTCGTCTGTCATGCCTAATACTGTACGACATACCCGGTAGTTGACAAGTCTGGCAGTTTATACGTCCACAAAGTGCTCGAAACGGACTTACAAGTCGCAATGAGGAAGGTACGTGGGGGGAAGGGTAATTGTCAAAGGCAGGGGAGAGAGCAAACATCGGAGGGCTTGAGCTAGACTGACAATCACTGCATTGTCGTGACAGACAACGATACATCTTCTCATCATCATACATTGCGTGCTTGCTCACGTTCACATTATCGCTCCAACAACGCCGAGGTCCAGCGGTTTCTCGAACGGCCCGAGAGTGCGCTCGTCGCAATAGAAATAGGCTTATGAGTGTTTCGCCCACCCAGATGCTCCCTGCGAAGCCATTACCGGATTCAGCAAATCACTTGCGATGTTTGGGGAAAATGTGTGTGGGTGGCTGACCAACTGACACTTGAGAGTCAATCGACGTTGGCCTACATCAGACCAACAAGAACGCATCATCCAACGATCGACAATCCACGCTTAGACTGTAAAGTCTGTGTGGTCAATGTGGGAGCCAAAGAGATGGTATGCCCATGGGAGGGAACCATGGCATAGCATATCGAGTGTTTGGACGAGACGGAAATGGTCGCTTCCAGATCACGAGGTTAGACTTTTTTTGGCCGATTTACGACAACGTTTTGGGTGGAGGGGTCGTCGACGTAGATCGCCCCCGCATGTTGCCTCTTTCGGCTGACCGAGTCGGCTCCGACCGAGCAGTTTGGCAAAACTCCCGTACGGATATCCCTCCCGTTCAGCGGTCGAGATCCGAGAATCAGCCGCAAGTTCACCAGTTGTGCCTCGACGACAGGGATGACATATCTGCGAGGTTTCTGGAAAACCATATAGTGTAATGCAGGCGTCGGTCACTTTGAAAGCAGACTGGATAGTGAAAAGACAAGGGATAGAGGCCCATCGATGGAAACTCGATCTGTGTTCTTGGCTGTCAGCATTCGGCACAAACAAGTCTGTGGGTGACTCTTTCGGCGAGCAGTTAGTCGCCAGGGGACGGGGCGGTCTGTGACGAGTTCGAGCGATCATTTCTCTCGCTGGAGAGCCAGTCTGAAGTCGGGCAGAAACGCCACGCTGTCGCTCGGATGCTGCCACTGGCGAGCGAATTGACATCGTTCGTTCGGGGCGTGTGGGGGAGAGCAGCAAAGAAGACGAAGAAGAAAGTGAGGATGAAGCAGCGCAGCATAAGCTTAGAGCCGGGCGTACGTGCTGCATGCTGCACCGAGTGTTGGGTGGTTGAGTTGGCTTCCGCGTTCATGTTTCGTGTCGCGGCACTTGAGGCCGAGCCGATCAGGCTGATGTGGGCATTGATTGCTAAAGGCGAGAGAGGTACGGAGTACAGTAGGCTATGTGCTTGCGTGCGATGCGCGTGGTGCGTCACGCGAAGGTCGCCGGCCAGGCTCTAGCTGACGGGAGACGGACGGACTTTTTATCAATGTGTAATTAGCGGGTCTTGGCTAGTCTTCACGACGTGAGGTGTCTGGGGTTGAATTGTGCATTTATCATCAGCCTTGAAAAGTCGGAGGCCAAGTGCCAGGCCAGTTCGCCAGGGTAGCGGTAGGTTCTGTATCCGTAGTGCTGCCTCCTATCTCTCTTTTGAGTCTTTTCTGGTCTGCGAAATTAGGGACGCATCGAGTACCATGGCCGAGGCTTCGGCCGATTGCCGCCGAGACTCGAACGGCAGCTGCACCGTGCCACCGTCAGGTAAGACGGGGGAACGCCCACCAGGTGTGTGACTTGCGGCGGGAGGGCGCGCGGAAGGCGTGGCGGCGAGACACTAATTTAGCAAAGGAAAGTCTCCGACAGGGTGAGCCGCGAGCGTGCATTTGTCGTGGAACAGTGACTTGCTGGGCTTGAATTACTCGCAACAATTCTTGCTGACACCTCAATGGCCTGTATCCGTTGTAGAAGATAACTCGACCTGTCATTAGTGTGTCCCTTGGGCCCTCGAGTTTTTGCCTCTTGATTGTAATTGTCATGGTTTGCAGTCTGGGAGTGACTCATTGTGAAGACGGGCTTGGCGAAGCGAAAATGTCCTGGGTTGCACTGGTTGCTTGATCAGCCGGAGGATAAAACGAGTGGGAGTTGTCCGTAGGAGAACCGTAGGAGGCCCGTTAGAGGAAAAAAGGCGGAGGAGGGAACAGGGCCGTGAGATTGAAATCTTATCAGTGATCAGCATTAACGTTGATGGAGACCCGGAGCTGATTCAACGTCCAAGAAGACCTCCGTTGCGGCGGACGAAGGCGGCGGTGGAATGCTGCTGGGCTGGGACCAGGGGAGGAGGGAGGCCGCGGGGCCCGGTCCACATTGAATTGACGACTTTTTGTTGTCTCCAGGATTCGAATTGCTGCCGTAGCTGCATGCCAAAAACTTCACCTTGGTTGCGATCGGAGGGCAAGACTAATCGGCTGTAGAGGCTTATGTAAGGGGTCAGCGAGAATCCACAATGGGAGCGAATACTAGTCGTAATTGATCCGCACGCAATTTGGCAGATGAGGTCCCTGCCGGGCTGTAAGACAGTGGGTGGGCGGGATATCCGTACGAATAATACGGGTCCTCGATCCTTTGTCGCAAAAGGACTTTCAGATGTGCGGGCCAGATGCGAGATGGAGATGAATTATAATGGTTCAGATATGCTTGTTTGACTGGCGGTAGGCTAGCGGAGAAGTTGCGGAAGACTGGCGGAAGCATGGCGGGAAGCCCGTGGTGGAAAACCCGGCAAACGACCGGACAGAATGCGTTTGAATAGAAGAGGTCTGACAAAATGGAGCGGGCATGAGAAGACAAGTGTAGGATACAACAATTGAATGCAAATAATATGAGTTGTAGCTGACGTTGATGGCGATGTGTTGGGATGGCTGTGGTTGGAGTTGGAAACGAGAGGTGCATATTCGGAAGAGAAACCCTCCCAACCTGGACTGCTCTTACCGTCTTGTCTCTGTAATTGGCTCGCCTTTGGAGGAAAGGAGCTGATTCAGCAGCACTACTCCAAAACAAGACACTGTAGCCCTTCTTGCCTTTCCTTTCTCCACATTTTGCCGGATGACTCGAAACCGACTGCCCCGCCCCACACTCCTGACAAGCCCGGATTTCAGACGTTTTGACTGACCAATGAGCTGTCCTTGGCCAGGTGGGCAGTGACCAACCAGACTGTGAGAATTCAATGTGGAAGGACCGTGAAAAAAAAGAAGAAGGACCAAAAAGTCCAAGGAAAGAACCCCGGGCGGGATCAAGGAAAGCGGGGCAGGACCCCATCCCTTGTCCTGGTATTGCCGCCTTTTTACGCCGGCCGCAGACAACGCAACGTGCAGCACAAAGTCGTCGGGCAGGCGCTGCTAGCTGCGCTGCTGCTATCGCAAGTGGGGCCGCCTTCCCTCGATGTGGTGTCTCCGTTTTCTGCTGTTGTGTGTGTTCTGTGTTCGGCATTGCCATCGCAACCTGCAAAATTTCTTGTTGTTTGCTTCCCCTTGTTTCTCTCCACTGCCTTTTGGCCTGCTACCTGCTTAGCTGCGCATTTCGCTCTCGGAGTTTTGTAGCGCCAACTTGTGCGACGTGTCTGACCTCTACCATCGACGACCATTGCGCTGGATACCTGCGTTTCAACGCCGCTGGTACCCACTCCGATCCCTTTTTTTTTTTTTTTTTTTTTTTTTTTTTGCCTCTTTTTACGGAGTTCCTCATTCTTCTTTTTTCTGACTGCATCAAGGGTCAGCACATGTGCATCCGGGCCCATGGATGATGGAGATCTGCTTGGACACCTCCATGACGGGCAGGTGCTAGATGATGTTCACTTTGCATCTACTTCTTAGATGGAAATGTTTGCAAGTCCACGTCAATGTGTTCAACATTGCTCAACGAATTGGATGCCGCTAACATCTGTGTTGCTCAGTTCTGCCGTTGTTGGTAACCAGCCCTCACACCCTATACTAGAACGACCAGTCTGACCAAAGAGAATGTTCGAGTCCCTCGCCGGGTAGATAGATCGTAGAGTTGCATTACACACACTCGCGCACGCACACATACCGACGAAAAGAGAGACACACACTACACACACCTCGAAAGCATCCTTTTTTCCGATGACGCGTGCCTCTGCACACGGACACTCATCATCCCATCTCATCCCACCGCTGACCGCCTCTTCTTCGTCCAAGATCGGGGACACCTGTCTACCAACTACAAAGAGGCCTCAAGGCAAAACCCCGCGGCGGTTGGAAAAAGCTTACTATAGTAGAGACCGGTGCAACTATTGCCGTCTCTGACTCCTCCCCGATCTGTCCTCCCACGGGCCACAAGTCACAACGGTTCAAGGAACCAGGGAACCCAACGTTTGGTCTGTGACCTAGGAGGTATCATGGTGGCTCAAGATGGCTCATCGTGTATCCGTCGACCGTCAGGACTAAGGAATACTATGCCAAGGGAACAGGATGATCCACACAGCCGTACCCCCACCTCATCGCCGTCTTGCACCCTGGCACGCCTCTGTGTCTGGGTCTCCCCGACAATTTAACAGCTGCGGGTCCTCCCATCGCGCCTCCACCCTGCTGCATCGTCCGTACCTACGCAGCGCTGTTAGTCGCATCTGCACGCCTTTTCCCTGGAGCCAAGCCAAGCACGCACTTTCCAACAAGTCCCAGTCTCCCAGACTCTCACTCGTGCCGCTGATAAGGTCCTTTAGCTGGGTAGGGGAGAGACGTGGATATGGTATACGGTACCTACATATCCCACTACATGACGCCCACAACACCACCAATTCCCATGTACTCACCCAGGAAACGCTCTCTGTCTTTCTTAGCAGGCTAACAGCAGCCTGCCGGTAAGTGCCCATCACTGTGAAGACAAGGTAGTATCTATCACCCCAGTCAGGGTGCCTCGCCTTCGCCTTGCGTGCAACAATACCTCCTGAATGCCCAACATCGTGCTGTACCTCCACCTGTGACCTAGCATTACCTTATTCCGTACCTACTGCAAGTCGTTAGCTGCCGGCCGGGCTTAAGACTTCCTAGATCCGGGAACCGACTCCGGCGCAAATTGTCACTCATCTTGACGCATCGTTGATTGGTAATGTTTTCTGTTTGGCTCCCGAAGTCGATCCGATAGACTGCCTGGGCGGCCCCAGGACCCTCTTTATTTTTTTCCCTCCCAGACCATACGGATGGATACCCAGTAATCCAGTCCTTTGGAGGTAGTTGCTTGCTACCCCTGGTTTTCTTTCTCTTATTGACGGAAGCTTCTTTTATTTTTCCTCAACTCCCATTTCTCATCCATCAACTCGCTCTCGGGTCGACGGCCACTGGGATTTGTGTATTCCTCCTTTCCTCCGCCGAATGACCGCCTCTTGGTCCGAAGCGCATCTCTACAGTCAGAAACTCTGACACATACACACTCTCTCTCTGTCACGCAGTCTCAATCCACCGGCTCTTAGCTTCCCCCCCTTCAGTCCTTTGATCTCTCTCTATTTCATCCCCTTTAACACGGCACATTGCCGCCTAACTCTTTCGCCTATTCTCCCTCTCTTTCACCATCCATCCCCACGGTACATCACCCCGTACCTCCACTTCCAACGCCTTTTCTCTCCCCGGCACGGGCCAGCCACCGCCACTTTCCGGTCGCCTGGGATCATCGTCACCACCTCTTAATACCAGCTCGACCTCTCACTCACCATTAGGTTTCGTGAGACCGAGCATTAATTCAACCCAAGTCGCTGTATACACGAGACTTCGTACCGCAGTGGACAACAACTCTTCGCGCATCATACACCAGCCCGACGGTCCAATGGCGGACCAGGACTTTGAAAAGACGGAACAGGCCGTCGCAGGAGGTAGCCCCGCCGTCAACGAGAAGAACAACACGGCCGACTCAAGTACGGCCCCACGATCCTCGACCTCCACCGCCGCCGATTCTGAACAGCAACGCGAGGAAGCTCGCCGCAACAACCCCGATGGCTTCACCGCGATCCACGCCGGTATCTCGGTTCATCAGGCCGAGGCCGAATTTGCGGAACTCCAGCGCGAGCTGTCTGGCCATTCGCGCGCAAGCAGAGTGAACAGTCGCAACAGTCGTAGAAAGTCTGAAGATGTCGAAAAGGCCGTCGCCAACGTCGACTCAGCCACACCGTCCTCCGAGACGGATGGTGAGCAGTTTGACTTGGAAGCTGTCTTGCGCGGCGGCGTCGAGGCCGAGCGCGAGGCTGGCATCAGACCGAAGCACATCGGTGCCTACTGGGACGGGCTCACGGTCAAGGGCATGGGCGGCACCACCAACTACGTCCAGACTTTCCCCGATGCTTTTGTCAGCTTTGTCGACTACGTCACTCCCATGATGAACCTGCTGGGTTTGAACAAGAAGGGTGTTGAGGCTACTCTGCTGGACAACTTCAAGGGTGTCTGCAAGCCGGGTGAGATGGTCTTGGTCCTGGGTAAGCCAGGCTCTGGCTGCACCACGTTTCTCAAGACCATTGCCAACTGGCGCGCCGGCTACACCAGTGTTACTGGCGATGTGCTGTACGGGAAGTTCACAGCCGACGAGTTCAAGCAGTACCGAGGTGAGGCCGTCTACAACCAGGAGGACGATATCCACCACTCCACCCTCACCGTCGAGCAGACGCTGGGTTTCGCTCTCGATACCAAAGTTCCCGCCAAGCGCCCCGCCGGCATGTCTAAGAACGAGTTCAAGGAGCAAGTCATCTCCACCCTCCTCAAGATGTTCAACATTGAGCACACCCGCCACACTGTCGTCGGTGACGCTTTCGTGCGCGGTGTCTCTGGAGGAGAGAGAAAGCGTGTGTCGATCGCAGAAATGATGATCACCAACGCCTGCGTTCTCTCCTGGGATAACAGCACCCGTGGTCTGGATGCCAGTACGGCGCTCGACTTTGTCAAGTCCCTCCGTGTCCAGACGAACTTGTACCAGACCACCACGTTTGTGTCTCTGTACCAGGCCTCCGAGAACATCTACAACCTCTTTGACAAGGTCTTGGTTATCGACGCCGGAAAGCAAGTCTACCTTGGCCCCGCCACCGAGGCTCGCGCCTACTTTGAGGGTCTCGGTTTCGCTCCCCGCCCCAGACAGACTACCCCCGACTACGTTACAGGATGCACCGACGACTTCGAGCGCGAGTACGCCCCCGGTCGTTCAGCCGAGAACGCACCCCATAGCCCCGAGACCCTCGCCCAGGCCTTCAAGACGTCCAAGTTCCAGAAGCAGATCGACAGTGAGATGGAGGAGTACAAGGCGAGACTGGCTCAGGAGACGGAGAAGCACACCGACTTCCAGGTCGCCGTCAAGGAGGCCAAGCGCGGATCCTCTAAGCGCTCCGTCTACGCCGTCGGGTTCCATCTGCAGGTCTACGCCCTCATGAAGCGCCAGTTCGTCCTGAAGCTCCAGGACCGCTTGTCTCTGTTCCTCTCCTGGTTCCGCTCCATCGTCATCGCCATCGTCCTCGGTACTCTCTTCTTCCGCCTCGGTTCAACATCCGCCAGCGCCTTCAGCAAGGGTGGTCTCATGTTCATCTCCCTCCTGTTTAACGCTTTCGAGGCCTTCTCCGAGCTGGCGGGTATCATGACTGGACGTGCGATTGTCAACAAGCACAAGGCGTACGCTTTCCATCGTCCGTCAGCATTGTGGATTGCCCAAATCATTGTCGACCAGGCCTTTGCAGCAAGTCGAATCATGGTCTTTTCCATCATTGTCTACTTCATGTCTGGGCTTGTCCGCGAGGCTGGGGCGTTTTTCACCTTCTACCTCATGATTCTCTCTGGAAACATCGCCATGACGCTCTTCTTCCGATGCATCGGCTCCATCAGCCCCGATTTCGATTACGCTATCAAGTTCGCCGTCGTCATCATCACCTTCTTCGTCACCACTTCTGGTTACCTCATTCAGTATCAGTCTGAGAAGGTCTGGATTCGCTGGATCTACTGGATCAACGCGCTAGGTCTTGCCTTCAGTGCCATGATGGAGAACGAATTCAGCCGTCTAAAACTCACCTGTTCAAGCGAGTCACTCATCCCCTCAGGCCCCGGCTATGGCGACATCAACCATCAGGTCTGCACGCTTGCTGGCTCCACCGCAGGAACCACGCTCGTGGACGGCTCAGCGTACATTGCTGCTGGCTACAATTATATCAAGGGTGATCTGTGGCGCAACTGGGGTATTATTCTGGCTCTCATTGTCTTCTTCCTCCTCATGAACGTCACTCTCGGTGAACTCATCAACTTTGGAAACGATGGCAGCTCGGCCAAGGTCTACCAGAAGCCTAACGCGGAGCGTAAGAAGCTCAACGAGGCACTCTTGGAGAAGAAGGCAGCCAAGCGCCGTGGCGACAAGCAGGAAGGCTCTGACTTGACCATCAACTCGGAAGCCGTGTTGACCTGGGAGGACCTCAACTACGATGTTCCCGTCGCCGGTGGAACCCGTCGCCTGCTCAACAACGTTTACGGATATGTCAAGCCCGGCCAGCTCACGGCTTTGATGGGTGCTTCCGGTGCCGGCAAGACCACTCTCCTCGATGTGCTCGCGTCTCGCAAGAACATTGGTGTCATCCACGGTGACGTCCTCGTCGATGGCATCAAGCCCGGAAAGCAGTTCCAACGCAGTACCTCGTACGCCGAGCAGCTTGATCTTCACGACCCGACTCAGACCGTCCGCGAAGCCCTCCGCTTCTCTGCTCTTCTTCGCCAACCTTACGAGACCCCCATCCCTGAGCGCTACGAATATGTCGAGGAGATTATTGCCCTATTGGAGATGGAGCACATTGCCGATTGCATCATTGGCTCTCCCGAATTTGGTCTGACCGTCGAGCAGCGCAAGCGTGTCACGATCGGTGTCGAGTTGGCCGCCAAGCCTGAGCTCCTTCTTTTCCTTGACGAACCCACCTCCGGTCTCGACAGTCAGAGTGCTTTCAACATTGTCCGTTTCCTCAAGAAGCTGGCCGCCGCCGGACAGGCCATTCTCTGCACCATTCATCAGCCCAATGCCGCCCTTTTCGAGAACTTTGACCGTCTTCTGCTCCTCCAGAGAGGTGGCCGCACCGTGTACTTTGGGGATATCGGTCAGGACGCCGTCGTTCTGCGAGACTACCTCAAGCGCCACGGCGCCATCGCCAAGCCCACCGACAACGTCGCCGAGTACATGCTCGAGGCCATCGGAGCCGGATCCGCGCCCCGTGTCGGAAACAAGGACTGGGCCGACATCTGGGACGACAGCGCCGAGCTCGCCAACGTGAAGGACACCATCGGCCAGCTCAAGGAACAGCGCATGGCCGCCGGCCGGACCGTCAACCACGACCTGGAGAAGGAGTACGCCAGCCCGCAGCTGCACCAGCTCAAGGTCGTCGTGAACCGCATGAACATCAGTTTCTGGCGCAGCCCTAACTACCTCTTCACCCGCCTCTTCAACCACGTCGTCGTCGCCCTCATCACCGGTCTGACCTACCTTCAACTCGACGAGAGCCGCAGCTCGCTCCAGTACAAGGTCTTCGTCATGTTCCAGGTCACCGTCCTGCCGGCCCTCATCATCAGCCAGGTCGAGGTCATGTTCCACATCAAGCGCGCCCTCTTCTTCCGCGAGAGCTCCTCGAAGATGTACAACCCCCTCACCTTCGCCGCCGCCATCACCATAGCCGAGCTGCCCTACTCCATCATGTGCTCGGTCGCCTTCTTCCTCCCGCTCTACTATATGCCAGGATTCCAGTTCGAGTCCTCCCGCGCGGGCTACCAGTTCTTCATGATCCTCATCACCGAGCTCTTCTCCGTCTCCCTCGGCCAGGCCTTGGCGTCCCTGACGCCCAGCCCCTTCATCTCCTCGCAGTTCGATCCCTTCATCATGATCACCTTCGCTCTCTTCTGCGGTGTCACCATCCCTGCCCCGCAGATGCCCGGCTTCTGGCGCGCCTGGCTCTACCAGCTCGACCCCTTTACGCGTCTCATTGGAGGTATGGTCGTCACCGCGCTGCACGACCTCAAGGTCGCCTGCTCCTCGGTCGAGTTCAACCCCTTCACCGCGCCGCAGGGTCAGACGTGCGGCGAGTACATGCAGCCCTTCTTCGACAACGGCGGCCCGGGATACCTGGCCAACAACGATACGTCGAGCTGCGAGTACTGCGCGTACAAGGTCGGCGACGAGTTCTACACGCCTCTGGGGCTCAACTTTGATAACCGCTGGAGGGACCTCGGTATCTTTTTGGCCTTTGTCGGCAGCAACTTGATTATCCTTTTCACGGCGGTAAGCATTCCTACCCTAGTCCCATGACTGAAATGATTCAAGCAGTACTAACGTCTACAATAGAGCAAGTTCCTCAACTTTAACCGCAGATAATCGTCCCCACACCCCAAGCCCGCGTCGCAACGCGTTTCGCATCCTTATTTCCACTTTCCTACTGTCAGTTGATTTAACAGCATCAGCATCGTCATCCCCCGATAGGTTCTCAATCCGGCCGCGTCTTTTCAACAGGCTAAGAACTATGTTTTGTCCAAAATGGAGTCTTTTGGTTTTGGGGATATCAACACCAAAATTTTCGGGAGGGTTTTGCGAATTCAAATGAAAAGATAGAGGAAGCCTTCATTGCGCACATTACACACATCACACATTGAGCCATGAGATAGCATGGTTTTTTGTCAAGAGCTGCGAGATGTACACATCCACATCAACATCCTAGCATAGAGCTTTTACGTAATTTAATAGACACGGCCAAGAGACTATATGTAAGAATTGAGAATGAGAGGCATTATGAGAATTGATGTGCTGAAGACCGAAGGTTTCGTGAAGACTTCTTCTGAGATATGAGGTGTGAAGACTGCTTGTTTTTGATGAAGCCACTCATTGCGACCTTGAGGAAATCGCCATTTTAACCCCAAAAACCATTTCGATCCTCTGAGATTGATGGGTAAAGAGGAGGTAGACGAAAGTATCTACAATCTCCGCTGGAATTCCTCTGCGCTATCGACAGTACACTGAGTTATTCTCCTGGCCAAACCGCTCATGATTCGAGAAGCTATTCCGTTCCCCAATCCGAGACTCTGACAGCAGCCCGTACACTGACGTACCTCGATTCGTTCCTCCAAACTCGACATCCCCCCTTCCCCTCCCCGCACTCCCGTCGGGAACCCCGCCGCCGGCAGCACTCAGACCCCACCATCGGTCGACAGTCCTCCGCTAGCACCCCACCGCCGCACGGCGTCCTGTCACCCCCTCCTCCGGCGAACGACTTCATTCAAAACCCCGTCCGTACCGAATTTACTCTAGACTTGGGCATTGACAACCGTCTTACCATTCCTCACCATAGAAGCCTTTTCAAATCAATTTCCGCAGCTCGCTCAATAACCTCAATCGCCTCATTCAGACATCCTCACAAGACTTACACTCAACGAGTTCCACCATCCAAAATGGCAGACCAAACCCCCCGCGCAGACCTTACAAAACGCCAAATCCCCTTCATGACCCTCGCAACAGGCGACACCGCCACCCTCCCAGGCGGTCCCGCCCGCACCGCCTCCGCGTCCGACACCCCCGAATCCCGCTTCGCCCTCCCCGGCACAGCAGTCCTGACAGGCGGCACCGGTGCCATCGCCCACGCCGTCGCGCGCGCGATGCTCCAGCACGGGTTGACGGGCCTCATGCTCCTCGATCTGGACGTCTCGTCCCCTGCCGCGGAGACCCAGATCGCGTCTCTTAGGACCGAGTTCCCGTCGACAAAGATCCTAGCTAGGAGCGTGGATGTCACGGATGAGGGGGCTGTTAAGGAAGCTATGGAGGTCGCGGCGAGCGAGTTGGATGGGATTGATTATTTAGTCTGTTTTGCGGGGGTAGTAGGGTGTCACCATGCTCTCGAAATGTCGGCCTCGCAGTTCCGGAGGATATTGGACATCAACACCACGGGCGCCTTCATCTGCGCGCAAGCCGCGGCGCGCATCTTTGTGAAGCAGAATCGTGGCGGGCGGATTGTGTTCACGGCGAGTATTTCTGCGCACAGGGTGAATTTCCCGCAGCCGCAGGCCGGGTATAATACGAGTAAAGGCGCGCTGCTGCAGTTGAAGAGTAGTCTGGCGGCGGAGTGGGCGCGGTACGGGATTACGGTGAATAGCGTGAGTCCTGGGTACATGGATACGGTGTTGAATGAGGGGGAGGGGTTGAGGGAGGCGAGGGAGGTTTGGGCGGGGAGGAATCCGATGGGGAGGATGGGGTTGCCGGAGGAGGTTGGGGGTGTTGTTGTGATGCTGTGTAGTCGGGCGGGGAGTTATTTTAACGGGAGTGATTTGGTTGTTGATGGGGGTGGTGTTGTGTTTTAAAAGGTGGGATATGGGGATAATGGATTCTGTGTACATGGCTGGGGAATGTGGGAAGGTGGAGGGTTTAGATGATAGACTAGAGGACGACCCGTCATGGATCTAGACGCATTGAAGTATATTCTTAAAAGGTTTACATTCGGCTGCTTGAAGAGATGAGTCCATTCGTTTTAAAGGTTGCTTTTGAGAAGGGATCGTTACGGGATCTTGAGCCTCCTTGAGTGCTCGAAACGTTTGACAACCCATTGAGAGCTCGACATCAACCCTCTCCTTCACCTTGAAAACCAGGCGCCCCATGCCCCTTCACTTTCATCTATTGGGCTTAATTCCTTCAAATGTAGTTAGTCGGCCGTGGTGCCGTCATGTATCATCCCTTTTCCTAACCGGTGACTTCTCACTGGTAAGCACGTTGAGGCCGACGTAGGGTAGTCTTGAACGCCGTTATAATGAAGGGCCTCGATGCGCTGCCGAAGTCATTGACTTGCTGGGCTAGAAGCAGGAGAACTCAGAAAACCATTCAGACGAAGGCATCCCAAGCACGTATCGAATACGGACCGACAGAAGTGGCTATGGTCTCTGGTCGGTAAAACCATACGATATCAAAGCTACCTGGTCTAGACGATGAAGCTTTGTTGAAGATTCTCAGTTATGATCTAAGGTATCCTTGGTTTACATGATCCAGGTCAGATGACAAAACGAAGACGCATCCTGAATCAGAAGCGGAATAGGGAAAGATTAGACGTAATCTGGGAGGCATGTGGAGAGAGATCCGCAACCAGAGTCCACACTTAACTTGAATTTGCTGACAGGGCCTCCAAGCTATTCAAAATTTAGGGGCCTATAATCCTCAACAACTGGGACAGTAACACGATACCTGCCATAATCCACTGAGCTCTCATAAGCAGGAAAGCTACTTGTGACTACTAGAAATCACAAGACGAACGGTCTTGCGGAGTCCCGGGGTCCTCGAGTCATCTACCACCGCAGTTGGGTATTCTATACAAAGTACCGAGAAAGGCTACATACCGTGAAGCAAGGCTCTCTTCAGATGCTGTGGGTGCGGCAAGCGTGATTGAGATGTTGCTTTGGCCCTCCAGAGTTGACGACTGCCTGAGTTAGGTGAAGCAAGACCAAGCTGGCTGGCGTGAGGCTTCTAGCCTTCTTCAAGCCGTTCAGGCTGTGTAGGGTGCATCACATAGAGGCATAGTACAACTTGAGATAAGCTCTTCACATGGTTTTGAATCAAGGTAACAGACGTCATCCAAATACTATGATAATTAATGAAGCCAGTCCAATGCATTGAGGTTGAGTTCACCTTGACTGTGCTGACATCCTTGCTTTGAACATCAAAGGTCGCCTGCTTGGGTTTTTTTTTTATCCAAGTCTGCCTGGTGTTGGGCCTGAACCTTTGCACCAGAAATCAAAAAGGTCCATAGTTTTTAGCTATCTTATTGCTAGCCAAGTGAATTTGCTCTTGACCTGAATTCAAGCCTGCATGGTCTGACAAAGACGAAAGCAGAGATTTGGACGCAATCGGCGATAAGAAGTAAAGACGTCACCGCCCACCCCACCACCCACCTTCCTCGAGACCGCTGTCACGTGCACGCTAGCGTTATCGATAATCACAGGGCAGGAATTCTTGACGTTGACGTCGACCGCCCGAATTTTCTCAATCGCTTAAGCTCCTCAACGCGTCAACACCAGGATCCACTGCACAACGCGCGCGCCCACGATGAGCTCATACAGACCATACCCGCCTCAAGGCAATGCTCGGGACGACCGCAATCGCGGTCGTTACGATTCCCGTTCTTCGCATCATCAGCCGCCGCCACCTGGAGCAGGCGACAATTGGCGCAACCCGTGGCCCGAAGACCGTGAGTACCGCCACCTCTCAAGATCGCAATCTCCACCGCGGCATTTCGACCGTTTTGGTTCTGACAGAGGACACAATCAAATAGGACGAAGATCAGGAGGCTACGATGGATACAGACCCGATAACCGACCGCCTCAGGGCGACTTCACCTTCCGGATGGATAAGCCTTCTGGCGTTGGCAGCACCTCCAGAGGAGACTCATACCGCCCCGGCGCATATCAGGGCAACGATAGAAGAAGGGCCCCACGCGCTCGTGGTGGATTGTTTCGTGGTCGCGGTAGGGGCGGGTACCAGAAGATCATCCCGGCCGAGCGCGAGCTCTTGCGCACCCGCCGCGATGGAGTCGACGAGAACCTGGTCAACGAGGAGGGCGCCGGTGTAGTATACCGCGACATCAATGACCTTTCGGACGATGAAGAGGCCGACATGGAGATTTCGGACAACTCTGACGATGATGACGAGGAATCTGGTGAGCCTTCTAGCAAGCGCGCCCGCCGCGCTGGCAACGACGAGTCGGGTAACAGCGTCCCGAAATGGTCGAACCCAGACCCGTACACCGCCCTGCCCCCGCCCGATGCGGCGGAACGCAAGAAGAAGGACATGGTCAAGATGATTCGGAAGGCACGAGTCGACGAAACTGCCGCAGACAAGCTCAAGGCCAGCACAGAAGCCGAGGAGTTCATTTCCTTCGACTTTGACGAGCCCAACGATGAAGAAGAGATCATTCTTCCTCCTTCTGAGCCACCCTCGCCTCCTCCTCCCCCTCCTCCTGGCCCCGCGCCTCCTCTGCAATCCTCATCCATCGCCTCGAGAATCGCGCCCAGCGGTCCTCGTTCCGATCGTTCACCTGCTATTAACGGATCAGCAGCCTCGACAGCGCCATCCACGCCAGGCAAGCCTTCAACTTTGCCGCCCAGGCCCGCTGCGCCCAACGACGCTCTCGGCTCCCGGAAGCGCACAGTCGACGACCACATCAAGCCTCCTACATACGCTCCGCTCAAGAAAGTCAACAAAATGCCTGTGGGTGGTGCCATTCTGCCTGAGTGGAAGGTGACCAAAGGCGAGGATCCCACGCCCTGGATCGACGCCGACCATTCCAAAACCTCGGACATCAGTGTTTGGTGAGTTGCGGCAGCGTTCAATCAGACGTAGTGTCTAACCGGGATAGGCTTCACAAGGAGATTGTCGACTTCTACGAGGTCGTACGCCCTCGCGACTTTGAGCACGAGATGCGAACACGGCTTGTCGAACGAATTCGCTCAGCGCTCAAAACCAACCGTTTCTACAAGGAATGCGATGTTCGCCCATTTGGCTCATACATGTCTGGCCTCTACTTACCCACAGCTGATATGGACTTGGTCATTTGTGAAAGAAGCTGGCTGAATGGTGCCCATTCCAACTTCTTCGGCATCAAGGCTCTGAGGAGCTTTGGTAAGTTCCTGTCGTCCAAGCGCCTGACCCATTACAACAGCATGGAGTTCATCGCAGGCGCCAAAGTCCCTCTCGTCAAGTACATTGATACCGAAACCGGCCTTCGGGTTGATATCTCCTTCGATCGCCTTGATGGTCCCCAGGCGGTCAAGACATTCATTGAGTGGAAGAAGCAGTATCCAGCCATGCCAATCATCGTCACAATGGTCAAGCACTTTTTGGCGATGCGCGGTTTGAACGAGCCTGTAAACGGCGGCATCGGAAGCTTCACTGTGACCTGCATGGTCGTCAGCATGCTACAGCTTATGCCCTCTGTGCAAAGTCGCAACCTTACCCCCGATCACCACCTTGGACAGATGCTCATGGAGTTCTTCGATCTCTACGGAAACAGGTTTGACTATGTCAACACGGCAATCCGGCTGAATCCTCCGGGTTATGTTCACAAGGTAAGTTCATCTTAGTGACCTTGTTGACCACGTTCACTAACGTTCCCATCGCAGCACCGAGTTCAAGACGTCGTCTACAAGAACTTCGACCGCATTTCCGTCATTGACCCCAATAACCCGGCCAATGACATTTCTGGTGGCTCAAGCAATGCTGGCCGAATTCTGGAAGAGTTCAGCATTGCACATCAGATGCTGAAGAAGAGAATGGTGCAGCTTGCCCAGGCCGGCTCACGCGCCGATGGACCTGCCAGCATACTCGAGACCATCTACGCTGGTAACTACTCTTCATTCCGTCACCAACGCGCGCACCTGCGCCAGCTGTACGACTCAAGATGAGGTCCCAGCTCTTGTTGCGAGTCGCAATTCGAAAGCATCGGTTCAATTGTTGATACAGGAAGGATGGGGTTTTCCATATGTCGGAAGGGAAGCGAATTTTCAGGCTACAAGAATCTTTTGCGCTGCACTGTTTAGATGGGCGGGGACCAAACACTCCAGTTTGGAGACGGAGTCAAGTAGAGGCGGCTGTTTCTTTCTCACGATACCCACCCCCATATCCTGGTTGGCTTGACTTCTTGGGTCAAGTCTACTTTTTCGAAGTGTTTCCCTTTCTCTATCTTTCTTTCTTTCTTTTCTCTATTGTTTCGTCTCTCTTCGAAGCAAAGTTGTATGATAACGGCAGCTGGTTGGCTGCGACGGGGGGTGTCGACGAGGATTGACTGTCATAGGCCCGGTCCTTTTCTACGCAAACACGTCCCGGTGGCGTGTCTTACCCCTTTGCCTGCTGGCCAGCTACCCAATGAAGCATTTGGGCCCAGCCCTAGTGGGCTCAACAATGAACAAGGACTTTTTCTACTACTTCTACTTGGCAGTGCTACCGTTCCTTCCGGGAAGCGGGGAGCCTCTGCGCACTTGGCACTACAACGCTTGGCCTGCGTGGCCCGGCGACTAGCTAACGAATTCATAGATGGCAGGACCTCCTGACAAGCTTTCTCGCGGGGGCTTGCACGGGGGGCATGTGAGCGATGAGGTAGGTTCTCTTATGAGGATCTGGCACGAGGACTCGCAAACAGACAAACAACAAAAAACTCTGGCTGACGCTCTTCGGAGTTTGTCGGCCTCTTTTCTCACTGCATTTTCTGTGCCTTTGCGCATGGGTGTGGAGAGGAAGAAGTAGTTCCAGAGGCTGAACTAACCGTCTCGCCCAGCCTCTGATGCCACTGGCATGCCCAGGGTTTAGCCTGACGGAGGGGTTATGTCCTGGGGAGATTTCCTCAGCCGACGAAGCGTCTCACATTGCCAAGGAGACATTGCCCTTGCAGCCTTGTAAATGAAGTCAATGCCTTCTATAATTTTCTGAGATACCCTTCAAAGCATCTATACTTGACAAGGCCCTTCTGTACGATTGGCGCCTCACGACATATGAGACACCCATATTGAAGTTACCGCATGCCGTCTGGTTCAACATTATGACCTTGCTGGTCATTGACGGGCAAGTTTTCGTGGCCTTTGGAAGAACTTGCAAGAATGTGGAAGAGAACTACCAGGATGACGAACGTCCATGAGTCACCTAAGCATGCAAAGGAGAGACATATCACATGCAGCGAAGGAACCTTGTTAGATGATGCTGTAGGGTCTCTTGTTCCATCAAGATCTTGTTAGCAATGCAGCTCCTGAGCCCGTGGGCTGCGGGAATGTGCAAGGTGCTGCTGCTTCTGCAGTCCATGTAGAGAACCGAGGATGCGTTCCTAGATGAAAGAACGAATTGCTGGAAAGCCCATGCGACTCTGGGGCCAAGGTCAAGCGACCCGATGCTTGGGATTTCCGACATTTTGGCAGAGCCAAGCGAGGTGGGCATCATCTGAGTTTGGTTGAAGCTTTTCGGTCCGTATGTAGTTCGTCCGGGATCCGAATACAATCACAGGATGCGGGGTGATGTCCAGCTCGCCGGCCACATATTGCCGGCCGAAGCAACAAAAGGAGACCACTAAGTTGGGCCAATATGAAACCCCGCATCGGGGTAACGTTGCAGTCTCGTCTTGCTGTCGAGGAGTTGCGGGGCACCATTGAAGGATTTGCTCGTTCGGTGTCTTGTCTGGAGGGCGTACAGAGTTAGATGCAGCAGTCGGGCGTGCCGATCTCCGTAGAAGGAGCAGCAAATGACCGGTAGGACGGTGGTAAACGGGGCCCTTCTTCGGGGAGTCTGCGGTGCAATACCCAGGCCAAGCGTATCAACAACCCAGAGCCTTCAAATGGGAAGGGACTATGAATTACCGTATCCCGTAAGCAATGTCGAAGGCGTGTTGCCGCCGGAGCAAGAAAAAAACTTCTTCTTCAGCTTTACGTGCCAAGATGCAAGGGCAGAAAATGTGAAATTTCTGAAATATCAGGTGCAAGGTCGAGGCATGATAAACGTGCGATGGATGAGAAGCGATCCATTCAAGGCACGCGCATCGCAGCAGCGGACAAGGGCCCCAGTGTCTTTTCTGGGCCTCGTGGAGTAGTGGTCGTCCCAGGTTGGCGCTAGACAGTGGCCAAGATGTTAAATTGGTGGAGATGCCTTAGGTAAAGTCGCAAAAGAGACAACGTTGGCCCACGTATTTTTTGGCACAATCGTGAGAAAGCGAGGTTAAATGGTTTCGTCCTCTCATATCTCAATTATTAGACGCTCAAATTTACTGTGGCGCAGGACGAGGCTTCAAGGTCATATGCCTTGGTCAGTCTCTGAATCAGCATCGGGGCCAACGATGAATAGACATGGAGTTAGGGAGAGGGAAAAATCGAGTATTGCGACTGTATCCGTACCGCAGAGTGTAGAGAGTGGTCGCCTTGGCGGAGAACGTTGAGCGGGTAGCACATTGGGTTGCCCCGTGTCGGAGAAGTGGTCCGAGAATTGGCCCGCAAAACAAGGACGGGACCAAGCTGGAGGCCCGCAACTCGGGAGCCATTCCCCCGCAGCAGGTGGCTTGCTAATAAGCATGGAATCGAAAAAGAGGGGAGCCAAAGGTTGCTAGTGCACATCGAAGCCTTGTCAAGTTGGCAAAAGAAGTGGTCAGGAGGCCGTCGCAAGGCGACTGTTGGAAGGGCACGTCGCTGTATCATCGGTGGGACTTTGAAGGCTAGAATGCTTGCTGAAACTGTGATCATCGCGAATGGGCGAACGAGTGAACCTCGACATACATGCCGGGGGCAGAGGGCCGGAAGAGAAGGATTCGCTTCGACCGCGGCGGAAACAGAGGCGTGGCGTTCAGACGAGATGACTTGTGTAGTAGTCGAGGCACAAGGCCAGCAATGGCAGCGGCAACTAGACCGCATTGCTTACTGGCGATGCTGGCAATGTAATTTGGTTGGAGGTTTTGGTGGCGGGATGTTGGACGGACATCTGGCCCGGTCTGAGACGGGAGTTGGATTGGAGCACTGTATCACAGTAGTCTGTAGGTAAGATGATGCGGGTGGCTTGACGAGGGGGACAAATGAGGTGGTGTCGAAGTCACCGTACCGGCATACGTTCATATTATTGGAAAGAAGGAACTGGCCGTTCGTGCCTTCATTCAACCAATTGCATTACAAAGCCCTCAACCTTTGGGAGGAAGGATCGATGGGGTGAGGTTGCGGTGCTACCCGTAGCTGCCTCGAGGGAGGTGCGAGGTGACTGTGAGGTGAGGCCGGGGAAGAAGGAGCCACGATGGATCCTTCTCATGTGGGGGGAGTGGGGCGAGGGAAGGAATTGGGGTCGACGAGGGAAAGAGCTGTCTGATAATTGGAGAGAGCTCTCCTGCTGTGCCTGCCTCGACTTCGCTTTCGTGTCGCATTGTCCCATGATGATCAAAAACTGCAAAAAACTTTTTCGGCAGCCAAGACGCCGAACTCTCGGTGAGTTTATTGTTCGTAACGTGGAGTGGTAGAAACCAAGTGAGCTTAGGTACCTCTGCAGCTGGATCTCTAGAAAGGTTCCCATGTGGACTTTAACAAGTTTTCCGCCGGTTCTCCGCCTGTTCTCCACAGGTTCACTTGGCATACATCGCTTCCCAGCTCTTCTTCATGTGTCCCCTGGGAAAGGTCCAGCAGCGTACGGATAGTTGGAAAAACCTAGACGTCAGGTTTTGTGGCACAATATCGTACTCTTTCTCTACCGCCCGGCATCCAGGTACTTGTCAGATGCATACGTGCGGGTAGGCAACTTTCATCAGATGGCCGAGGCGACTCTCTATCGCCAAGCTTGCCCCAAGCCTGTCTTCGTCGGAGCAGCAGCCGAAAGGGCACCAAGATCCTGGCGCTAAGTGATGACATCTCAATCAAATCGCCTGGGCATGCTGCAAATCCTCCTACCTTAGCTACCAGGGATGCCGGCCAACTTTTGTCCAGCCTTTTCCTACATGTTCGGTGTCAAGTCAAGGATACCATGCCCCAGGTGTCCATTGTAGGTATTTACTTTTGGTAAGGCAGTCGTTTCGCCCTTGCCGTGATATGACTGGCCAGCATTAAAGTTGCGTGTTTGGTCTTTATTTCCATCGTGATCCATCATCCAAGTCGGGTGCGGGGGAAATGGGCCGCGTAGATTGGTCTGTCGACTGGGAGGAGCGACGGGAGGTGGTCCACCGTTCTTGACCCGGCCGGGGCAGAGAGCGGACAGGGGTCCGGACGGAAAAGACACACGGACGATGAGAGAGGGAAAGGGCGGCTGAACCGTGTGTTCTCCTTCCCACCCATTTGACACTGGACTACCTGTGGTACGTATTGACTTTGACTACCTGCCCGCTTCAGGTACCGTACGGATATCTCCTGCCTTACGTACCTCACCTCAGGTACCTATGACCAAGTCTGGCCTATCTCCATATGTCGGTTTATTTTTGTGCAGTTCTCGGTTGGTATGCATCAACGACTAAGAAACTGACAGTATGACACCAGCACCAGGAAAACCCGACAACAGCCCAGATGTGACGCGTCCATCCATGTTCACGGTCCACATCACCAAGGTTCTCAGTTGCGATAGTCGACTGCGTAAGAGAGAGCTCAGGCAATAGAGACGAGTAGCCAGGTAAGACAGACCAGCAGACAGACAGATGAGTAGCTCAACCGCACACCAAGTTCCCGGTCTGTACATTTCTGCGGCAATATATCTCGCTGCAGCAGTATGGTACATGAAAGTTGGACACGCCAGTGACACCACCGACACGAGCTCAGCATGAGATGTGCAACACAACGACACCTCTACCGCCCGTGTGGCATTCGGGATCTTGCCCAGCTTTCTCGTCTGAGTCTCCCACGCTGCTCGCCTGGTAACATCGCCAATCATCCAATCTCGCCAGCCACTCACAGCTGCCCATCCCTCCCATCCTGAGTCGACTCTTCTCCGCATTTTGTCTCCCACACACCACACATCTGCTCACGCACTCCGGATGATCAATGGTACGCTGGAAGCTCCTGATTCCCCTTACTCCAATGTGCCTTAGTTGGTCACCTCTTCTTGAGCTCTCCCAACCAAGGTACGGAGTACTCTATGCAGGCATGCGATTCCTACCCGGTCAATCCACAATCTCGCCATCTCAACCGACGGCCTGGCAACGGCCCAGACGTCTGTGCCTTCGCCATGCTCATCCACTCGCCCTACCTGTCACACAATGGCCCTATCGCCCTTCGAGGAACTGATCGTCCGTACCCTTCAATACTCCTCCGCGCCTGCTTCTACCCATGACCCCATCGTATACCACGGGATGGACAGTCCTCCACATAAACCTTGTCAACCCCATGTGCCAACGTTTGCATTCGGTCCGTCCTGTCTCCCCAGACAGGGTCCCCCTTCGATCAACTCAACCGGCAGCCCAATGTCATTCGACACAGCAACTCGGTACGACGGTGGGCCGTGTCGTTACCCATCCTGCGACTCGGGTACCATACACACGAGGCGACCGCGGCCGCCCCCGAACCGCGTCCAGATGTACCGCAGGCAAACCACCACCGTGTCACCCCGTTTACTTTAAGTTTCGGTCGCGCCCACCTGCAAGCGTATTCACGAGCCATGAGGGACCTACTCCGCTGACGCATACATACGACATTCCAACTTCACCTCGTCCCACCTAGACGGACGATTCACCTAATTGTTACTGAATACAACTACAGAAATAGTCGCCTTCGTGCGAATACCGCCATCATGTATCAGGCGCAAAACATCTACTTCATCTGCGGTTTCGCCGCCATTGGTACGTGATGCTGCCTTTAGTTCTCGCCTGGCCTGAAACCTTGAGGATCATACTGACTAAAGCTCAGGCGGTGGTCTCTTCGGCTTCGATATCAGTTCCATGAGTGGTGTTCTAGGAACTGGAGCCTACAAGAGATACTTTGGAAATCCTACATCATACCGCCAGGGTGGCATTACGGCTTCCATGCCTGCCGGCTCCCTCGTCGGATCTCTCGTCTCCTCCTTCATTGCCGACAAGTACTCTCGCAAGGTCGCTCTCCAATTCTCCTGTATTCTGTGGACTATCGGTGCCATCCTTCAATGCGCTTCCGTCAACGTCGGCATGCTTTGTGTCGGCCGTGTCATTGCGGGCATGTGTGTCGGTATCGCATCCTCTATTGTGCCCGTCTACCAGTCCGAAATCGCCCCCAAGGAGATCCGTGGTCGCGTTGTTTCGCTCCAGCAGTGGGCAATTACATGGGGTATCTTGATTCAATACTTCATCCAGTACGGCGCCGCAGAGGGCATTGGAAAAGGCTCCACTGATCCCGACCAGCCAACCGCCGCTTTCCGCATTCCTTGGGGCGTCCAGATTGTCCCTGCAGCTGTCCTCTTTGTTGGGTTATTCTTCTTTCCTTATAGTCCTCGTTGGCTTGCTAGCAAGGACCGTTGGGATGAAGCCATAAAGGTCCTCGCTCATCTTCACGGCAGCGGCGACGTCAACCACCCCAAAGTCCTGGCCCAGTACCAAGAAATCGAGGAGGCCCTTCGATTCGAGCGAGAAGAGAACATTTCTAGCTTCAAAGGTCTCATCGCTCCCCGCATGTATAAGCGTGTGTTGCTCGGCATGAGTATCCAAATGTGGTCCCAGTTGTGCGGAATGAACATCATGATGTGTGAGTAACGACCTTCCGATTGCGAGTGTGAACGACGAGTTACTGATTTGATCCAGACTACATTGTCTACATCATGCAGGGTGCCGGCATAGGCAACCCGCTACTTACTGCGTCTATTCAGTATATCATCAACGTCGTCATGACTCTTCCCGCCATCGTCTTTATCGACAAGCTCGGTCGTCGTCCCTTGCTCGTCGGCGGCTCTTTCATGATGATGACCTGGCTGTTCATTTCTGGTGCACTTCAACAGTACTATGGACAGCCCAACACCGCTGAGACACGCAACCCCGACAATGAGTCTGTTACTTGGCTCGTTCTCAACCAGAGGCCGGTCTCCTCTGCTATCGTCTCCTGCTCGTATCTTTTTGTCGCAACCTTTGCCACTACATGGGGTCCTGTGTCATGGACTTATCCTGCCGAGATCTTCCCGAGTAAGATTCGCGCCAAGGCCGTCTCTCTGTCCACCTCGACCAACTGGTTCTGGAACATGATTCTTGCTTTTGCCGTTCCCCCTCTGTGTAAGTTGAACCGCATGGAACGCCACGTATAAGTAAGCACTGACAGATTTCAATAGTATGGAACATTAACTACAAGATGTATTATATTTTTGCGACATTCAATGCCCTGGCATTCCTTCACACCGCATTCTTCGCGCCCGAGACCAAGGGCTTCACACTCGAGGAGATGGACGATGTTTTCAACTCTGGTCTTCCAGCCTGGAAGACTCATCAGAAGAAGTCTCGTCTTGACGACATCGAGCGAGAGATTGCCGCCGGAAATCTTAAGGTCACTCGCCACGGCGCGGTTGCTGATGAGGATAACCATGAGGTCGTCGCCGAAACTGAGAAGAAGGGAACCGCTGTCTGAGCACTGCGGTAGACTTCCGATACTCGAAACTAAACAATAATACCCAGCAGGAGTTGTTGTGAGAGAAGATAGTCGTGGGGAAAAGCGAATTTGAAGCGAATGAAGCGGGGCGAATGCGCAGGTTAGCATATTAATTGATGAAGATGATACCAGAACTATTCGTCTTGCCTAAGACATCGATGGTGGTGCGATAGTCGTGAAACATGGCGTGAATGACTTGACGACACAAGAGGTAGAAGGCGCTCTTCCGTCGCTATATCCAAAACTGCTTTCCACGGTCCTGAGATGCGCTGTGAAGTTCTACGAAAGGTTGTCTTGGCAAGCGACCCTTCGGAAGATATTCCTAGATCGGCTAAGATACCCGAAAAGTTACGCAAATTCTTTTTTTCTTTCTTTTTTCGCTGACTCAATCTGTTGCCAGGACTAGGTGGGTAAAGGATATATAACTCAGTGTCCTCTTCCGTTCGTGACACGGAGAGTCTCAAGGACACTGAAATTGTCAGTCAATCTGATTGACGTCCGTACGAAGAGACAGGGGCTAGGTGACTTTTGTGTACATGAAATGATCCAATGTCTCTTTTTCTAGAGTTAAGGTTTGATGCAGTCAGAGATGTGGTTAGTACCAGGCGGGGGCGTCTGACATCTGATATGTATTCCGTTGGGAATCATCGAGAGATAGGGGGAAGAAATGTTTGGAGGCAGCGAGAGATGGCGTCACGGGAACTCGGAAGATGCCTTGCATTCTGGAATACCCTGCTTGTCGAATCAATGCGCTACCCAGCCTGGCAGCTCCAGGCAGCTTGCTCTTTATGGTGCTCCACAGATGAATCGACCTAAGTTGTCCTGGCTGTTATTGGTCTTCAGTTGACCCTCCCATTATATATCTATCGAATAATTTGGTTGCAAAGAAGACAATTGCTACATTGTCACGTACAGCTCGGGACTAGTCAGCCGATGTGTCACTTGAAACATCAAGTTCGATATCCATAGTCTGTACTGCCCTGACCGTGAATATCTAGATTTAACGATCGACCATGGGCGTGGTCATTGCATTCTCCGGATACAACAACGGCCCCATCGCCATCGTCCCCGGCGCAGAAAGCACCAGATTCCCTTTCCCATCATCCACATTCTCCACCTCCTTGTCCGGATCTAACGCGCTCGCCGTCTTGTACAACCTTGCATCCAGCTTCCTCGTGCTCGGGTCAAAATGTAACGTCCATTCCTTCACCGTCCGCCGACTTCCCCTCGCTAACTCATCCATCAATGCGTTCAGATCCCTGTAGGGAACCATCTCCGTGAACCACGACGTCCACATCAACAGACCCCACTCCAACTTACGGAACCCGTCAATGCTGCCGTATACTTCTTCTACTTCCCTGCGGAGCAACCGTCGATCCTGGGCCGAGGCGTGATCGTAGACCTGGAAGAAGGCGTCCTTGGCCTCGGATACGTATTTCGGCTCCACGAGCCAGAGGTCCCCTTCGTACCCGCTCTCGCTGATGCAGATTACTCGTCTGAGGAGGGGCCATGTGACACATGTGCTGTCAGCGAGACCCCGGGATGGCAGCAGCTCGAGCTGCATGCTGGCCGGAAGCTCGTCGTCTTGGACAGTGACCTTGGACAGCGGCGCCAGGATACGGAGGTGCTGTGATGTATTCCACCACACCGGTCTCATCCCGTCCGTGACGCGGAAGAAGGCCTTGTACTGATCCGGCAACGGGGCGCTGAGCTCCAGCCTCTTCTCAAGATCCTGAATCTCCTGGTGCGAGGGGACCGGATAGCGAAATAATGTCTCAGGACGAAAGATCTTATCTTTGTCAAGTTCCACTGGCCCAACAATCGTCCGCTCGACGAGCATATCATCTCGCCGGCGCAGTTCGTCGGGGGCATACGGCGCGCAGGACCGCGTATTCTCGTCGATTGCACGCGCCAGCTCGGCGATGGTGTACCCCTCGTACGGCCGGGTCGGCCCGCGCTCCAGTCGCCGTCTGAGCATCTCACGCCCGGCGTCTGCGGCTTCGCGGACGTGGTCGAGGTCGGTGTCTAGGTGCTTTACGAGGGCGTTCTTCGAGGGATCGGTGAACCAGCCGTAACGCCAGAGTTCGCGCATACTGCCCAGCATGGGCATCTGGTCCTGCGCCGTGTGGAGGGTCGCTATGGTTCTTCCCCATAACTCGATGGCGCTCTCTTCCTCTTCGTTACTTGCGTGGGTGCTGCTCTCACAGCTGTCACTGTCCCTTTCTTCATCCTCTTCGGCCTCATCTGGAAGAAATCCATCGTCGACGATCTCTTCCTCGGGTTGATACTGATTCTCTTCCACACTGCTACTACCACCATCACTACTCGATTCCCCATCATCCACCGCGTCACGAAACAACCTCACAGAGAGATCAAGCGCCAACACCCGCCCCGTGGCCTTGACGACCTGGTTCATCTGCCACGGCGCCAGCATGCGCTCCCAGAGACCCCAGAACCCGGCCAGACGCATCGGGATCGGGCCGTGCGGGTTTGCTCGGTTGTCTTGCCCCAGCGCCAGCTCGCGGGCGAGTTCGTAGGTTTCTTCGTCTTCCCGCCAGGGCGGCGCGAAGCGGTTGCAGACTAGAGTGCGGGCGTAGCGCTCTATGGCGTCGAGCGCCGTATCACGCCCGTCGTCCTCGTCGTTGCTGTGTTGAGACGGTGCCGCCTCTATCCCTGTGCCCGAGGACGGATGAGAGTGCCGTTGTCCCGCTTCGTCGCCGTAGGAGGAGGAAGAAGAAGAAAAGGACTCCGGAACAGGCGTAGCCCACCTCGGCCACCGCCCGACATGTTCCCACGCGAAGGCAAATACAATCCGCGTAAACGGGTCCGCGCGAGGCGGGTTGACAGGGACCTCATAATACGTGCCAGTTCCATTGTCGTTGTCGTCGCATCCCTTGCCGAGGGTCCAGCACCGGGCAAAGTCCTCCGTGAACACCTCGGGCCCGAATTCCCGGAGGTCAAACGGCGGGATGCCGTGCGCGTGGAGGATCGTCAGCAGACCGGTGCCGTGGTCCACTTGGCCGAGCACGGCGAGACATACGGCGGTTTCCCGGACGTGTTGGATGACTTTGCTTAGGGATGGTTCTTGGGCGATAGAGGTTGGGTCTGTCAGGTGGCGGAGGAAGAAGGCCATTGTTTTGTTGGTGCGGCCCGGGCCTCTTCCCCTCCCTGCCGCTTGAGATAATCGTTTTCTAAGAGAGGATGGGGTTTATTGTTCTTGGCGGTGATTTAGGAGCTTTTTCATACATGACATCAGAGGATCTGATAGGTATGATGACGGGCCAATTTAGAAACAAGGCCGAGGCGGAGAAGTCGGCTTCAGGAGTGGTAGATTGGTGGCGGGGTTATTGCTGATGGTGTATGCATGTCAGACGTGAGAGCCCGGAACATTCCCAAACTGTCTGTAGTCGCATGGCTTGAACTGGCTATGATGATCGTTCTGCTGACTGGTGATTCATCCTGAAGACAAAATCTGGAGTTGGATTATTAGAATTCAGAGATGGATCAAATCGCAGTAGAGATTGAGAGGCATATATTCTAATCTCGTCAATTGCTACGCGTTGAAAGGATCTGGTGTGGATGTCGCTCTGTGCACATGCGCAGACAATGTCTCATAGAGCACCCTCCTCCCACCTGAGCCAAGAGTTGCTGCCACTGCAGTAGATCCCACGTTAGTTTCAATGAAGAACTCAAGACGGGAATCTCAATCAAATACAGCAAGGTCATGAACAATAGCGGAAAAAGAAAGCTATCTTGTGTGGATGAAAGAACTTGCCAAAATTTTATTTTCCTTCCCGGCAATTTCGAGCACGTCAAAGCGACTGAGGTCCAGGTGGCAAACGCTAGTAAATATGCTTAATCCGCTCTAGGCACAAGAGTTCAGGCACCAGAACCTCTCGCTGGCTGACGGTTTCTCAAGAAATTGGCGTTGCTGGGAAATGAGCAGACATTGAAGGGGATTGGCACGTTGTATCAAGCCCCCAATGCCAAGCGTATTGTGATCCCTCGTAAGGTTGAATTTGTGAGAGGATCAACATTGGGCGAGGCAAAGTCGCAACTAACATGCGTGGGGTCTTTCCGCAGTCCTGTCTGGAACCCTTCATCTCTGTGAGAGCCCTAGTGGCGGTTGTTGTGGCTTTCAGCTCTCTAATTGTCCTCGAGGCCCGGGGGTATTGGAAGCCAGCAGAGCTCTTGGTGCTGACGGCACGGGAGTCTAAAGATTTACGCGATTCTCGAGATGCCGCGATTGGTAGCATCGTGGCAGTGGCGCGCGGTTCCGGCAAGGGATGGAATCCTACGTTGACAATGTTTGGACCTCAGCTCTGTGATTTGGCTGCCTAGCACTAGCGGTGGTGACAGTTGAGCTTGCTTCTTAAACAAGCTGTGCGAATCTGTTTCGATTGAGACACCTATTCCATAGGTCTGAAGTTGATTACTTTCTGGTTCTCATGAGCCTCGTCGACATCACCTCATAGCGATACTCTTCTTTCCATCGAACCTTGCTAGTTAGACGATTGAATGCAGTCACCCGAGCGAAAGGCGTTGCTCGATATCAACCACACACGACAGTTAGGTGGAAATTGGCGAGACGAAGCACACGAGATGGATCACTCCTACGCGCAGCAGACGGGAGGTCACAACGCCGACCCGATGAAAGGATCCGATGCGAGGACGGCACAGAATACGAACACGCACTACAGCCAGCCACAAGTCGTTGACGATTCGTACGTTGAAAATGGTCTTCATCCGGTGCCGGAGCCGGACAAGATCGTGGGCGCGCCGTACTATCACCAATACAACCAAGTTTCTGGAATGCCGAGCCATCCTCATGAACAAGTGACGTCGAAAAACAGGATATGTGGTATAAGCTTGGCAATGTTCATACTCTGGTGCATACTGGGATTCCTTCTGGCGCTGCTGGCTATCGTCGCGGGGGTATTTGGGAGCATGCTCGCAAGACAGAGCTCGGAAATCTCAAACCTCAAGAACGTGGTCGCGACAAAGTGAGCATCTCAATCAGCACCGGCCGAAGGGTTAATACTGACACCCACCACAGAACAACCGGTCCCGACGCCAACGCCACAGCAACGACAGCCGCACCCGCCGCGACGACGACGTGGGTCGAGGTGGTGGATTGGGAGTACATCGGCTGCTACGAGGACGCTTCGAACCGCGTGTTCCCGGACAAGTACACGGACATTGAGGACCAGACGAACCGGCTCCGCGCGGGTGTGTGTTCTGGGTACGAGTACTTTGGCACCGAGTTCGGGGACCAGTGATACTGTTCGCGGATGCCGCCGACGACAGCTGCGCCGGCGTGGAATTGCAATATGCACTGCAATGGCTCGCAGGCGTCGGAGATTTGTGGGGGGTTTTTCTTTTTGAGTGCTTGGAAGAAGAAGGTCTGAGGTTGAGGGCTGGGTATGAGGTCTTTGCAGGGGGTTCATTGGATGTGACGACGTGAGTACAGGTCTGCTTCAGCTGTCCTTGCATGGTTATATGGATTGGAGTTTCTCGGGGTTGACTGATTGAGATACCCTATGGTAAAAGAATTGAAAAAGTCTTTATTCTGGATTATCAAACTTTGTGTTGGCTATTAGGAGGCTGCTCGAAGGGGAATCAGGTGTAGGGCGGTCGACGCGTAGTTCTAATGTGGAAGACTCAGACCGTGATACTCTCTCACGCCGGCTACATATTGCCCAATCTGGCCGGCATCTTCAACATCCAGCAATGGATTCAAACAACCATGGCCGGTTGGCCCAATGGCAAGGCGTCTGACTACGATTGAATACGTTATCAGGAAATTCTGGGTTCGACCCCCAGGCTGGTCATAATCTTTTGAAAATTCTGCATCCTGGATGCCGGGTTTGAAATTTTTGCGCGGGTTGCGGGTCCGGCGCCCCCGCCGAGTCAGGGCTTGCTAGTCCGGGCCGGAAGTGGCCTTCAGCGCTCAGGCGCCGCCCAACAGTGTCAAACGGTAGTTACAAGAACACGGTTACTGCAACGAAAACTCGTACTAAGCACATGCCACGGAAGTGCTTTTCACATCTCGTTGTTTAGAATGCATGAAAGCTACCTTGTTGCGCGTCAAACCACACAATCTTCTGCCGGCCGCCGTGACTAACAATTTTGGCGCTCCGGCGTGGCGCCCCACTTCGCCGAAAAAAGTCTCAACTCCGACCAGATACGTACCTCTCGACGTCTCCCATCGGATCTTGACGGGACATTTCCACTCCTCTTCTCATACACCCGCTCGGTGGGCAACGTCATGTCCTCCACCCCTGCATCGCCAGCGCCGGCATCAGTCTCAGAGCTTCTGACGCTGATAATAACCACGTCGCCAACCCCGTCCGCGCCTTCGACAGAACTCTTGGATGCGGTCTTCAAATCTATCCGTCTTCACTGCAGTGACTTGCTATCATGCCGTATCATTGTTGTACTGGACACGTATGAGCGCATCGGAGACATTCCAAGGTTGAAGAAGGGTCAGGTGACGGAAAAGGGCGCGGAGGAGTATGCAGAGTACAAAGACAACGTCAAGAAGCTCGTGCTAAGAGAATACGACCAACATGAGAGACCTGACGAGTTGAGTCAAGAGCAAGGGGAAGCAGAATATGGTTACAACGGGCGAGCAGCCACCGTAACGACAAATTCGGCCACATTCACCGTAGGCCAGACGAAAGACCTTCGCGTTTCTTTCGTAGAGCCGTCAGAGAGGCTTGGTTTCGGTCTAGCGGTGCGGACGGCCTTGAGAATAACGGCAACACCGTACGTCTGGGTCCATCAGCACGACTGGACACTCGTATACGACATCCCTGTGGGCCCAATACTGGATGTCATGCAGACGCAAAACGCAGATGAGGAGAGCCCGGTCAAGTATGTTTGTCTTGCTTCGGTACGGATGCTGAAGTATGCCGAGACTGCTCATGCGCAAGAATTCTCTCATCTTAGAACGTTGACGAACAAGCTGAAGAGGAATTTTGCGCCAGAGTCATTTCCGGGGGCGGAGGTGCCGCTGACGCCAATGTTCTTTTGGCATGATAAGCCCCACGTTGCAGCGACGAAGCACTATTTGACGCGTGTCTTTCCGACGCGACTGGCGATACCTAGAGGGGCATTTATCGAGGATACGGTTGGACATCGGGCGCGGACTCAAATGAAGGAGCAGGGCATGTGGTCGCGGTGGGCTTGTTGGCTGTTTTATCCCAATGAAGGAAGGCAGCTGTGTCTTCGGCACTTGGATGGGAGGAAGTGGAGGGGCGCAGAGGGGGAGGTCACGATGAAAGAAGTCTGGAAGCAGGCCAACAAAGAGATGAGGACAACAAACGATGAATGAAACCAAAAGTTACAAGATAAAGCCTTCAAAAATCGGGTTTACCGACACACCTTACTCTGGAATTAGGTCTGTTGCAGTATAGTATTGACCTTTGCCTTCGTAAAGCCACTCCTTCACCCAGCTATCACCTCCAGACGGGCAACCAACTTCAGAGCCAGCGCCATTGCAGGTAGCGTAGACGCCGACCAAAGAGCCGGTGAAAGGACCACTCTGGCCACTGACCAGTCTTGCTGAGAACGTGCTCATGACGACCTGCTGACCGGGTTGAGAAGCCTGAGATGCGGCCATCGTGTAGTGAGTTCTGTTGACTGTGACGATTTGGAAGTGAATTGACTCGTCTCCCCACGCTTCAGGTACCTGGACGAGATTCTCAGCAGGCGCATCTTCTCCTGTGGCCCGGAAGCGTAACATGCGATCGTTTCCTCCGGAGCCGTCAGCCTTGGGGAGGATTACTACCCCGACATCAGCGTGGTTGAACTGCGTCAGGAACAAAGTAACGCCAGTTTCTTGGTCAACCTCGTTCAGTGGTGCATCAATGACGGCTTCAAAGGTAAACAGAGAGTCAGTTTGAGGTCGTCCGATGAAAGATAGCCCCGAACGGCCATCCAGATCCGCATTGTCGCCCGTGAGGTTCGCGCGACTAGGCACGATATGGAGTCCTCGAGAGCTATCAATCGAAAAAGCGCCATCGGTTGGAACCCTCCAGCGGATGAGGTTCCGGGGAATACTGCCCAGTGCCGTGAAGTCGTACGCGTCGGGGTCTGAGTTGAATGGGCCGTCTCCCGGGAGGTCTCTAGATGCCGGGGGCATTTGCCAACCCAACATCTTGCCTCTGACGGGTTCCAGTATCGGCCACTCGCCTTCTCGCCAGGTGACTGGGTACAGAACTGTTTCGCGGCCCATGGGATAGATTCTCCATTCTGGCCCGGAACGAGTAGCTAGTGCGACACCCCACCAGTTTCCATGAGAGTCTTGGAACAGATCTGCATGGCCGATTGTCTATTATCCCAAGGTTAGAGATGAAAACAGCTGCAGTACATGAAACCTGGCTTGCTTACCTGAAAATATTCATTGGTATCCTTGTTCGTCAAGACCGGGTTGTACGGGCACGGTTCATACGGGCCCGTCAGGCTAGAAGATCGAGCCATTACCTGGTAGTGCCCAGTCTCGGTCCCTCCCTCGGCGGCAGAGAGGTAGTACCAGCCGTCTTTGCGGTAAATGTGAGGACCTTCAGGCCACACGCCACCGGTGCCGCCCCAGAGGAACGTGTTGTTGACAACCGTCCCCGTCCCGAGGTCGACGTCGAGGAGGACGTGGCCGCCTCCCGGGATGTACATTTTTCCGTCGTCATCCCAGAAAAGATCCAGATCTCCGTTGGGGGTCAAGAATGTGTAAGGTTCACTCCAACTTGCTGCATCGAACGGATCGTTCGTTTTCAAGACTGTTCCCAGCATTCCGTCGGGTAGGCCGAGGTATTCGCACACCACCCAGAACTCGCCATCATGGTGCCGAATAGTTGCGGCGTAGAAGCCTTCTTGTTGCCCTTTGAGTTGACATTAGTGAAGATTCCTGAAGTTCAATGGTCTATTGAAAGACGTCATTTGCCATGCCTTTGGTTTGCTGAGTAACGTTGGGCATTTGACTTTGTCGGTTCCAAGCATGACTTATCAATTTCCAGTTGATCAGGTCTTTGGAGGCATATATTGGTAGACCAGGGAATGTGATAAAACTTGAGGTGACGCAGTAGAAGGTACCATCAACGTGGATACATGATGGATCAGAGTGCCAACCGGGCAGGATTGGGTTGTAGAATGTTGAATTATCAGCTGCTGCTAGAGCTGCCCAATAGGTAAGACAAAGCCGTAGGACCAAATGGCCCAAGTGAGAGATCATTTAGAATGAATTTGAAGGTTACAGAATACTCGAGGTGAGGAACAGGCGCACTGGCAGCTTGAACAAAGTATGCGTGGTCTAGTTGTCAAACTATATACCCTATGAGAATGTACTCTTGGATTGAGGAGGACTAGGTCATATTTACATGTTCACCAGAAGTTTAGCGAGAGGCTTCGCCATTCTGTCTTGTCGAACTTCACTCCCACTGTTGAGATGCACAAGGTGGTGCCACAAACTCTGGCTAAATGATCTGCCTGTCAGAGAGCATCCTGATGCAAGGAACAATCGATTTGCTTCTGCGTGGGAAAGCTCTTCCCCGCAATCAGTCCCGGCATCGAGTCTAAAAAGTATGCAACCCTTGGTATCACTGAAAGTCTTGGGAAGAACGTGCAGAGCAAGACAGGTCAGGTCTGGTGATAATACGAAAGAATCCTGAAGCTAGGTTTCCATGATTGAATGATTGTCCAATTGGAATAGATCGCTTGAGTAGGTGGGAGGCGTTTGAGCTTACAAGCAACTCTGTATTAGCCGATTACCGAGCCAATAATGGAACAGAAGCGCAACGTGCTTGACAGGCGGCCCGATCCGTTTGGCAAGGAGTGCCCGTTTTATGTATCCGGCTAAATGAGAAATAACTTGCCCACGCCTGTTGATTACCACGCTGGAACGGTGGCTCTCCAGCATTGCGTTGCCGAAAGCTACACGGTTGCATATGCACCCCGCACAGTTCATCGACTTCATCCTTCCGATCTAATGATTGACTGGCGGTTGCATCTCCCTTAGATTACAAATTCACATGATTTCCCATGGCACATTGGAAAACAGAGAAGTGAGTCGGAATTCTGGAGGTAGCATGCTATTGGATCATATTCGGGTTAAGTGGTGGCCATCCTGTAAACCTCGTCTTCATTCAGAATCTTGGCGTGTGACCCGGTAGCTGACTCTGTCGCTTCGCACGATCTCCGCACGATGTTAGCGATTGAGCTTCCAGGGAAGCTAATAGTTCTGCCTAATATTCAGATCGACATAGGTTGAGGCTAGATACAATGTCTTACCTCAAATCAGGAACTGGAGAATGCTAAATATATAGATCAATGAAGTTGATCCGCACGAGAAACAGTAGGCACCGAGATTCTTCACCCTCATGTCTTTCGTTCCTGACCTGGCATTACTCGAGAGAAACTCTTCGTCACCTCCAACTAGTCACTATGACACTCCGTGTGTCTATTGTCTTCTCTCTTGCCCTCCTTGGCCTCAGCCAAGTCGTCCAGGCACTGGTCCCCCGCCAGGAAGCAACCTTTTCCAACCCGGTGATATGGGCCGACCTCGCCGACGATGAAGTCTTCCGAGTCAGAGATACGTACTACTACAGTGCTTCGACAATGCACTACTCTCCCGGCGCGCCACTGCTCAGGTCCTACGACCTCGTCAACTGGGAATTTGTTTCGCACTCGGTGCCTGAACTTCCTGGTTCAAAGTTCTCGCTCAATGGCAGTGACAGTGCGGGCTACGTCAACGGCGTCTGGGCGTCTTCCCTGGGCTATCGCGAAAGCAACGGTGTCTTTTACTGGTATGGCTGCATCCAAGGCACGGATGAGACGTATATCTACACTGCGTCCAGCCCAGAGGGCCCGTGGACTCATCACGACCCCATTCCGAAATGTTACTACGACCTCGGCTTGTTGATTGACACCGATGACACCATGTACATCGCCTACGGTGCCATTGACATCCGTCTTGCGCAGCTATCCGCTGATGGTTTTACCGAGGTCCGCAATGAGGTATGTTGGCGAAACAGTCGTAGCTTTTCTGCAGATGCTGACTCTTGCTAGCTTGTGTACACTGAAGATGCCCACAGGTACATCGAGGGCTCGAGATTCTACCACATCCATGGCAATTATTATATTTGGGTTACCAAGCCCGGCGATGAGCAGCATGTTCTGAAGTCTACGTCGGGTCCTTGGGGTCCATATGAAATTCGAGAGGTGATTGCGCAGATGAAAGCTCCCATTGAGGGTGCAGGCGCGCCGCATCAGGGTGGCCTTGTATCGACTGAGGATGGAAAATGGTATTACATGGCCTTCATCGACGTGTATCCCGGTGGCCGTGCTCCCGTTCTCGCCCCAGTTGAGTTTGACGCCGAAGGTTGGCCTTCCGTGGTCACAGATGCAAACGGTGGTTGGGGTGCCGAGTACGCGATGCCTGTCACAACCTCGAAAACAGTCCAGGGAGTTGGATCCTATGTCGACAAGTTCGAAGGTGACGCATTGAACACCCGCTGGGAGTGGAATCACAACCCCGACAACGACGCCTGGAGCTTGGGACCCGATGGCCTCACACTCCACACCGCAACCGTATGCGAGGGCTTGTATGGAGCCGCAAACACCCTCACCCAGCGCATCATCGGACCCAGAAGCCAGGCCACGTTTCGCCTCGACATCTCTGGGATGGTGGACGGGGACCAAGCAGGTGTAGCAGCACTGCGCCAACTGAGCGCTTATATCGGGATCCACAAGGTTGATGGCGCGTCTAAGCTTGTGTACGTTGATGAGATTAGCATGGTCGTGAGAGACTCATTGACGGACTGGGTGACAACTTCGAACGGATATGTCAAGGCGGAAGGACCTACTATTTCCGGCAGCGATCTATGGCTCCGTATCAAGGCCGATATTTCACCACCTGTCGCCGGATCGAGCGCGTGGCCGAATGCTACGTTCTGGTTTAGCACCGACGGTGATAACTTTGAACAGCTTGGACCCGTGTATGAGCTGAACAATGAGTGGTTCTTCTTCATGGGTTATCGATTCAGTATCTTTAACTGGGCAAAGACTCGTCTGGGTGGTAGCATCTTGGTCCGGGAGTTTGAGTTGGAGGTGTTGGCGTAAAAGGGAATCCCGAAACATCTTTCAAGTCGGAGACAGATGTTCAAGGATAATTTGGCGGCTTTTGGGTCATAATAACCAACAGGCTACGAAGACAGACGGAGTGGACGTGTTCAATTTTACGCCACGATTATGTGTGGTCATATTTAGTACGACTCATCGGTAAACTTCAAATGATCCAGTAGTTACTGAGGACCACTGCTAGATTGCCTCGTGCAAAGAACACAAACTTGAAAGGGAATGTGGTATTCTGCGCCTCTGAAGTGCATCAATCTACTGCTTGGCATCTCACGCGTCGCGCATGTTATAGGGCTTGGCAACTTCACGGAATTCCGCGTTGATGCAGTTCTAGACTTGGCCCTTTGTAGGATCTAAAACATAGTCTGACAGCTCCAGTTGCTATTGGTCTAATTGATGCCTACCGGATAGCATTGCTTGGCATAACTCAGCTCCCGCCCTCAGACCCAAGTCACAATCGCTTGTACAGCGAGCGGTAGCCCACCACCAAACCACCACAACACAGACTATGAGGTCAAAAGTTCCCACGACAGGTTGACAACCTTGATATAAGCACCCAACGCGAGAGACTCCTTCCAAAAGAACTAGGTAGTTCTCATGTTTCGTAAGCCTTTGAAGGCAACTCTAGCAATACTAACCGCGGATCTGCTTTAACGACCTGCTGTATCGGGTATGGCTGTGCCACTTTGAGAGGCACAGCTGCGCAAAAGGCCACCGCATGCGTGATCCTTCGAAAAGTGCTTCTCCCAATCAGCAGAACCATTCGTGAACAACCACAAGTTCTTGAGACAAGATAGCGGTAAGATAGCTCCAGTCTCAGCAAAACTGGGCGAAACTGAGAATTGAATTGCATATGAGTATTGACCAGAAAGGGAAGCTCGCAAAGGTTCAAGGCGTCAAAGGCAAATGCGAACAGGCCGAAGCGATTTCTAGACTTTGTATAACCCAATTGAGATACAAGATAGTCGTAGATTCTGGGTTGCCATTGAAACATAAATAGTCACCCTCCTGTTGTCATCGGTACAGGAGATTGCAACTTCCCAACAACTCACAGCTCCAGAACCATTCAAATACCTCTCTCCATCAATTAGTAAACTCACTAAAACAACATAACAAAATGAAGTTCTCCATCCTCACCTTCGCCACCCTCTTCGCTGCCCTCGCGGCTGCAGCTCCCGCTCCGGAAGCCGAGCTTGTCGCCAGACAGTGCTCTTGCCACAAGATCGGTGACGAGTGGTTCTGCAGCGGCAGACTATGCCCCAAGGACTTCATCCCTACGGCCGCCATGACCAAAAGGGATGTCGAGATCCAGGCTCGCGGATGCAGCTGCAAGCCTATTGGCAACGGCGAGTACTTCTGCATTGGAAGCTCTTGCCCGTGAGCAACCGGCGCTGCGAGCTTCTAATCAACTTCGAACCCTCAGAGAATGGTAAGCGTCTCACTCTTAACGAATAGAAGTACTGTACCTTACTAAGAAGCCTAGATCTTTGGTCATTCTTCCCATCATTTTCGTCCCTATTGCCTCGAGGTGATGTTTCCTGCAGGCGCCGCGCATGCAATTGCTGGATGTTGAAACTACTTTTCCGTTGGGATAATCGATAAAAATAAATAAACCGATACCAAAACAATTTCAAGAAAAGCTTTGCATGTGCCTGCAGCCGCTTGCTTCTTTCCCCTCTAATAATTTTGAGACTACCTTGAGAAGCTCCTCTTTTCTAGTATGATACCTCACATTTAAGCACTGTGTGTAAAAACAGCAATCTATTGAGCACCTCCAGACAATCTCTGTCACCCAGTCGGTTGGTAGAAGTTTTCTCGGTCTTTACTTGCCAGATGAGGCGATGCCGAGAACTCTCTAATGGCGGTTTTGGGCATTACGTGCGGCGAATGACAGCTTGGCAGAATATGTACGTGCCCTTTCGAAGTTTTTCGAACTCGAAATTGCGTTACCTCGATATTATAGCTGACAGTGGGAAATGATTAGTCGTGATTCTTGAAATAGATCCGAGCTGTGACTTAGTTGACTTGAAGTCTCCAAGTTCCAACTTTTACATAGGTTGGTAACCAATAGGCTGCAACTTGCAACTCGTGTGCCGAGAGAGACGGAACCACTGTTGTCATTGGAGGTATATTGCTTCTGTGCTTCGCCGAAGGCTCGAGTGCGCTATTATGCTGAATCGGCGCCGACGACACTACAGGTCCGCCAATGTTCGGCTCGGCTCGACCGTCGTCGGTACAAGCTTTTTCAGCCACCGAGGAAAACGCGATGCGGCGACCGGACAAAAGACGGACTTTCACGGCGGACATTTCAGCCACCGTTCACCGACCTAAAATCTTGCACCCTCGAAATAGCATGATAACGGGAACAAAGTCCGAAGAACTTATGGAATCTGAGGGTGGGTTACATAGCCACGTGAACCCACGCGTTGCCATGAGCTATGACGCTTATTTGCTTGATTCCGAAATGCATGGTACTTGGTGGTGTTGCACTGCGTGCAAAGTCTATGACGAAGATCCCGCGAGCTAAGACGTGCCAACCCGCACGGTCTCGAGCCGTGCCTATTACCGTAGTAGTGTACTAAGTGTGCGCACTTTGTTTGCCAATCAATAACGATGGGTCCTGTTCTCTTATCTGTTTCAGATGTTGGAATTTCCCAAGCGGGCCAACTTTTTATAAATGTCCGGGGCGGTCCCGTTCCGGTCGGTGACAATCAAGGGGCCGGCATGGACACCGACTTTCATGTTTGCCATGCCGGCGTGGCATCATTGTGTTCAACAGAGAAGCTTTCGATAAATAGGTACGCGGCCCGCAAGTCTATCTAGCAATCTCTCGACCAAGCTTCTAGTAAACTCTCACGAAAAGGTTAACCTTAACCCCGAATACACCCAACATGCCATCCGATGCAAAGCCATCAACTTCAGGCCGAAGAACCCTGGCCATCTTCGGCGCAACCGGCCGCACCGGGAGCGAGACGCTGAAAGCCCTTCTTGCCAAGCCCACAAATCCCTTTTCTCACATGAAGGTCTTTGTCCGCTCTCGCGAAAAGCTCATCAAAACCTTTCCCCAATTCAAGACAGATCACGACGTCGAAATCATCGAGGGTCAAGTCACCGACGAGGCCCGCGTCAAATCCTGTCTCATCGGCGCCGATACAATCATCTGCGCTCTGGGCGAGAACGATAACAAGCCAACCGTCAGCGTTCTGCAAGATTCGACGGAGACAATCGTCTCAGCACTGAAACAGCTGAGAAAGGAAGGGGGAGCAGACTGGAAGAAGCCATGGTTCATCCTCCTCTCCTCCGCAACATGGAATGAGCGATTCTCCGCGAGGCAGCCGTGGCTCGTGAGATGGATGATCCAGAACGCCTTCTACTGGCCCTATGCGGATCTGCGCAAGGCGCACGCAAACCTGCAGGCTGAGCCGGAGCTGTTGCTACTGTTGTTGGTGCAGCCGCCCGCCATCATCGATGAAGAGGCGAGCGGGCACACCATCAGCACGGAGTCAGTTGGCCTTGCGTGCTCGTATCCGGATCTTGGCACGGCATTCGCGGAGCTGGCAACCGAGGAGGCGTACAAGGAGACCAGTGCCGTTGGTGTCACATCTGGCATGGCGAAGGCGGGCTTCTCGAGATATGGGCCCGAAATTCTCCCTAGAGTCATCTTTGGACTGATGGCTAGTTTTATTCCGGGTGCTTGGAGGGTAGTGCCAAGTGTATGAGAATTGAAAGTAATTCACAGGTAGCGTTGATAGATTACATTTGACATGGCGCAGCTATTCAGGGCCATGCAAGATTCTATAATACCGTCATACTCAAACAACTAGACTCGCTGAATAGTGAGCATACCCTTGAGGAGAGACTTCATCATACCAGGTTTGGGCCCAGTGCGTCGTGAAGTTGTCAGCGAGACAGCATCGTTGTTGCGCAAAGCGTCATCTTGCTCTTCTTCCGCAAGAGCCAAGGTCTCAAGCTCCCGTATTTTCCACACGCGGAGAAACCAGACTATGAGCGATTAGCCAAACAAGCCGGCTAGACAGAAGAAAGTATTTGCGACGACTTACTAGATATGAACGCTGCGACGTACATAAATCCCGTGAACAGCTGAACAGGGAGATACGCGTTCAGTCCGGAGCCCTTGATTGTCAGAGCTATGGGCTCCGCGAACGTTGCCGGGATAACGAGAATGATCCAGAAGATAGATAGTGCTGATGGAAGTAGCTGCATTCCGACCACCTCAGCGCCCACTGGTGCAACGGTCGGCCAGAGCACTCCGGCGAATGCGCCAAAGAGGGCAAAGACGATGAGGCCTGCAAAGTGTTTGGCGGCGAGAATCCAGAGCAAGAACGTGGCGAGGCCGGCGATGATGGTGCCTAGCCCGGCTACGTTAATGCGACCAAAGCGGTCACTCACCAGACCGATTACCGGGCGGCCAATACCTTGTGATACTATGCAAAAGACTCAGCTTGACTGTCACCAGGATGTGCTGGACGAGGAGGTTAACTCACGGTTGAACATGGCCGACACGATAGACCCCTGGCTAGCACTGAACCCGACAGTTTGCGCATAGTCCGCCAGTGAGAATACGGAGATGACGTATCCAAAGAGTCCAAAGAAGCCCCACGCGACAAACAACCAAAACTCAATCCTCTTGAAGATATCCTTGTGAAACGCGACATGGACGCTGCCGAGAGCCTTGTTCCGGTCCTTCATCATCAAACAACACGCGCCATTGACAACGAACGACAAAATGGCAATGATTCGGAACGCCCAGGGCAGGCCGATGTTGCGGATCATGGCGTTGGAAGCAAGGGAGTAGATGAGACCTCCCAGTCCGGAGCCGGCGGTGGCGATGGAGTTTGCAAACGAGCGGCGCACGACAAACCATTGCGGGACCACACCGACGGTGGAGTTAAAGGTGAAGCCCATGCCGACGCCGAAGCCGATGCCTTGGGAGAGCAGCAGGTGCCATATCTGGGTCGTGAACGATGCACCAATGAGAGCGGCTCTAGGAAGCGTGTTAGGAACCGGGTGGCGGAATTTCCGTCCGTCTCGGAAGACGTCGGGGGTTGAGAGGGGGCGAGCGGGCCGGCTTACGCTTGGATCACGACGCCGATGCCGAGAGTTGGTTGCGTGCCGATGCGAGGGATGCAAAAGGTGACAATTGGGGCGATGAGAAGGGCTGGTCGCGGTGAGTGAGATGACGCGGAGAAGTCTGGAGATTGGAGAGAAGGCTTACCGACGGAGAAGGACAGCCCGCCGACGAAGGCGAGTGAGATCGGGCTTGCGCCGGGAAACGCTCCGGAATTGAGGTAGTAGGCGAGGAACACGGCATAAGTCTAGATTGAGGTGTGAGAGTTACGCTTTCCAAAGTGAAAGGAAGGGCGCTTAAGGATAACTCACTGAGTTCAAGCCCCAGGTATGAGCATTGATGAGAAAGACACAGCCTACAACGACCCTGATATCATGTCAGCGACTCAAGCCTCACCAGTATGGATCACTACGCAGGGCGCAACTCACCACCCATAGCCGCCCTCTTTGAACTCTACCTGCTCACTCGGCCGTTGACTGACAGGGCTCGCCGCCGCAGAGCCATTCTTCTCATTCTCCGCTGCCCTGGAAGCACTGTCAGGCATCCGTACCACGGCATCGTGGCTGTCCTGTTGACTGGAAGAATCAGAGTGAGAAGGCATACCGGGCCCCAGCGACAAGACGAAAAGGTGCAAGTTTCGTCGTGCTTGTCAAACTGAGAGATGGGAGTTTTTGCGACAAGACAGAGCAGGTTTCGGAAAGGAAGAGAGAAAATACGCCAGCTGCCTCGGTAAGTAATGACGGGTTTGAACGAGTTTCGCGGGGTTATCTAGTTCGCTTCTCGGCGGGCCGAAGACCGTTTTTTCTGTTTCGATTGACTCACGTCCTCGGGGGTAATGTGGTTGACAAAGCTAACAGCCTGAATCATCAAGATGATTTCACCAAAAGCCGTGTAGAGTAAGACCCCGCGGGGATATGGGTGTTGGGCAAGCAGAAAGAGAGCAATCCTTTCTCAAGTTCTCCGAACCGAAGCGCGTGTTGGGCGTGTTTGAGTTTTTGCTTGCTGTTGGTCCACGCCGGGAATAGAATGGGGTTGCCGTTGCCCGCTAAACCGAATGAACGCACGAAGGGCGCGGTAGCGACAAAGACTCGAGGAGCACTGCAGCCGGACACCTGGGGAAGCAAGCAGGCGAGATTGACTCGTCAAGTGACAGCTGCAAAGTCGGCGCTCTAGACCCGATGGAGGGTGGCGCCGGAGTCGGTGTCCGCGATGTGTAATGAAATCATCTCATTGGCGTTATCGCCCGGTTGATGTTTGCCGGAGTGGATCCTATCCGTTCTCGGAAAGGTAAAATCTCAAGGGGAGAAGACATGACCAATCTTCGGGTTCGAAGCCGGACGGTCGAGGATGGTTTAGAATATCAATTCACTTATGTTTAGCCTATCCCCGCCTCTGTGAGTCTTCATCGGCGGTGCTGCTGCTGTATCTCGAGATTCCCGGCAACAAACGACTGAGATGATGTGTGTGGCTTCGGCAATCTGGCTGGCATCGGGTTAGAGCGCCGACAAACAATTGCACAACTTTTTTCTGCATGTTTGCATTGATATTGGCCGCTGTTTAAGCGCCAACATGGGGTAAAGAGACTCTTAACTTTTTGTTGGTGCTTTGCCCCGTAGTGCCGGCTGTTCTCCGAGTTCATGTCTCCGCCAGGACCGATTCCCGGGCCGCGCCGTCTCAAATCCCGAAAAGTCGGAAGATGAACCGGCTTTGGCGATAAGATAAGATCATAACACAATCATGGTATTATGGCACTACATTAAGGTATCATCCATCGATCGGCTGGTGTATTTTGAGTAAGGTAGTTCTTCCATGTGGTTATTTTGCAGCCAACTCAAGTAGGAAAGTTTTGATCAAACAAAGGTTAGGCGCAATTTGGGACGGTTCATAACAAGATTCGCTTTGTTCGTAATCCTAATTACAACGCTTCAAACAAATCGACTCTTTCAAGTCGGGCAGGTGCAGTACCAATTTACTCCTGCGTCCTTAAAGCACATACTTGAACAAGGGCGACCTGTCTCCCAAGTTGAACAACTCCTCCTCAGTGTACTTCGTCTTCGCCTCCTCCGCGATCGCAGCCTTGCGTGCGTTGGCCGACTTGTAACTCCACTCGAGCAAAAGAGCCACAATCAGTCCAGATCCACCAAAGGCCAAACTCAAGCCGAAGCCGGTTGGGTACTTGGGCTTCTCGCTCTCAAGGTACATGAAGCTGCCCACAATGCCACCGACGTTGCCAACGCAGTTCATCAGCGCGATACCAATCGCTCTTCGAGAGGCAGGGGCGATATTGTTGGCGTTCCACGATGCGGCCGCGGCCTGGATGGGGTAGATGCCGACGACGGCGAGGACGACGGAGAAGTAGGCGACTCCCTTCTTCGCCTCAAGCGCTCCGTTCAGTGAGAGAATAATGGCGTACGCAATGGCGACGATGGCGAGAGGGATTGCCAGGAAGGGCATACGCCAGAAGAACCGATCAGAAATCTTGGCAAACGTGATGGCGGAAATGGCAGCGGCGACGTAGGGCGGCGCAGAGAGAAGCTGGGCCTGCGTATTTGCGAAGCCCATGGCCTTGGTGATGGTAGGCAGTGTGAACTTGATACCGTACGACAGAGCCGACTGGCACACCAAGAAGTACGCCTGGACGTAGATCCTCCAGTTTGTCAGGTTCATCTTGAGATCCCTCCAGTTGACTTTGCCGCCGGCGCCGGCCTCCTCGCGGCCACCGCCGCCCGACTTGATGAAGATGGAGAGCTCGAGGTATCGGATCTCCTCAGGCTCGAGCCAGCGCTTCGAGAGGGTCGGGGTGTCGATCAGGAAGAAGAAGCAGCAGGCGCCCATGATGACGGTGGCGAGACCCTCGAGGATGAAGATCCAGCGCCAGCCTTCGAGGCCGGCGACACCGTCCATTTCGGCGATGGCGGCGGCGAGGAGACCGGAGAAGGCGCCGGACAAGGCGCTGGCGCAGTAGAAATACGAGATTCGGACGGCGAGATCTTTGGGCTGGAAATGTTTGTTAGATGCATACATCAAGGGAGCGTCGCTGTCTGGATACTCACCATGTACCAGTAAGAAGTCAGGTAAATTGCACCGGGGAAGAATCCAGCCCTGCAGATGTCAGCCAGAGTACCCAGATTATCCTGAAGGTTGTGAAACTTACTCGAAGACGCCGAGAAGAATGCGAGTAACCATCAACCCACCAAAGTTTCGAACCAGTCCTGTGCAAGTCATGATGATACCCCAGCAGAGGGTCAGAGTGCCGAGGTAGAACGAAGGACGCTTGACTTTCTTGAGGATGATGTTGCTGGGAACTTCGAACAAGACATAGGGAATGAAGACTAGTCAAGACTGGTTAGCGAAGTTCCTTCCCAACTCGACAGTCAAGATGCTGATTCTGGAACTCACAGATAGATAGCACAGTGTTGTACTGCACACCAGACATGCCCAGATCCTCAACCATGCCTTCAATCTTGGCGTTACCGATATTGGCGCGATCAATGTGGCAGATCAAGTAAAGCAGAGCCAGCATGGGAATCAGACGAACGTCAACCTATTATTGCCTGTCAGTCGGTGTGATCGTGGTGTTTCGGTTCCGAGCTACCCACCTTGTGGAAAGTCTTCTTCCGCTTCTCCTCGGGGTAGTTGTTGTAAAAGTCGGCATCCTCAGGGGTCAATCCATACACGCGGTAGGGACCAACTTCGATCGCCTCGGGGACCTTTTCGAGATGAGCTTCCCCAGAAGGTCTGTGGCCAAAGACGGCATCGTTCTTCTCGATGGAACTCCTGTGGGT